TCCCAAGATGCATACAACTCTGGGGAAAGTGTTCAAGAGCAGGTTTTCATTGATTAGAAAATGTATCACTTCATGTGGAATGTGCAAATTCTGCTGAGATGGAAGCTTTTTAGTTCTTTCCAGCAGCCCACTTTGTCCACAAGGTGGAGCAGACCAACAGTCTCTGGCCTTCAGGCCCACATTTAGATCATTTTGTACTAGTCTGAGTCTCATTTATGCCAGCATATAATACCATTTACTTGTGGATTATAATTAAACAAAATAAACATATTTTTTGAAATACTGAAATGTCTGACTGTGATGCTAGAAGTTTGACTTCACGTCATGGAAAATAGTGATACGTTTTTGTTCAATCCAAATCACTGAAATAATGAAAATAATGTTACCACGTGTACAATCCTTTTAAAATAACCTGGTGAAATGATCATACAGCTAATAAAAAACCCTTCATTTTACTTTTCTTTTCAGTCAGAATGATCGTATCCGTGCTTTATGTTGACAGTTAGCATTTCTCACTTGAGTTTCAGACCTAAACAGCAGATACAGCTGTAAGCTATCCTCTGTGACTTTCCTCATTGCCCTGTCCTCAATAAATCCATGTAGCTGCATCATAGCGCCAACACGGAAGCATTGGAATTTAATATATTACTTTCACCCACTATCACACTTTATATGGTGCGTTAGGGTTCAATTAGTTTTCTTTGCACAAAATGTAATCTGCAGACAGGATGTGAAATAGCTGCTTGTGCACAAAAAGGTCAGCATTGTTTTTACAGCTTTGTCTGCTTGCTTGCATTTTTCAGACCCAACTGTTCTCTTCTAAAACAACAATGCAGCTATGGTTTGGAGGAAGGATGATCTTGATGATGTTTTATAGGATGCAGCTTTTCTCGAGTCTAATGACCAGAAGGATTAATTTAATATCTTACCAGAAAATCCCAACTGGACTGTGCCAATGTGTAAAAAAAAACATTCACAAGAAAACAACTCAAGTAATAATCATCTTCTTCCTCCACACTTACACAACTGGCTTTTTAGGCTCTTGTGCTGATGCAAGTTTCATGACTTTGCTGGTTACAAATAAAAGATTCAGGGATCTTGCAGCTGATCATCTCGACAAAACGAGAAGAGAGAGAGAGGAAGAGGAGGAGGAGGAGGAGGCCATCACGACTGTTTCTCCGAGCCATGATATTTCTGGTGCTGACCCATTTAAACAGCCTGGAGAAGCTGCAAGCACAGGTGCATCTGGAGAGCTGCAATCAGGATCACACATATTAAGACTATTAATTCGTAAATGGAAGCTAGATTCAAACCGATGTGCACGTGCGCTCTGATGCACACGGTGTTCGAATGGGAGGGTGGGGGCTTCAATAGACCGTCGTGCTTTTCATCCTAACGCAGTAAAACAAGTGATGCCAGTCATTCTTTACGATGAGTCGAAGAATAGATGTTTTAAATTAACTGTGTGTGGATGAGAATCAGAGGCTGTCACAGCTGTTATACTCAGAACAATCAGTGCAACCCAGTGCCACTGTGCATTGTGCTGCTGCGTGCTGGAGGGTGAATGATATCCATATTTAGAAGGGAGTTCGTTGAATCTTCACAATGGAGGCACAAGAGTTGCTGTGTGTGTCTAGTCTTGAATAGCCAGTGGGACCTTAATGACAGCTCCACATCACAAAATCTTCTGCTGACCCTGATTTGGTGTTTTGGAAACCTTCAGAAAGCTCTGAGCTGAGAAGCTCTAAATGGAACATGGCTGCCCGCCCCATAGTTGTTATGTAACAATATCACGGTGACAGTGGACTACCATCAATAATTCCCATCACGGGTGCCCACAGCGAGTCTCATCCCCTCGCTCTGACTGTGTTTACCCTTCAGCACACTTGCACACACGACTGAGTGAGTCCTCATCCAAAATGGCAGATGATGAAGAGTGAGAGAGGAGTACGTTATAAAGGTTTAATTAAGTTTCACCATGGGATGCCCTGCTGTGCCTCCAAGGACCAGGACAGAGAGGTTTGTGTTAGGCCAGACCAGCTATTAATAATATCTATACCCTTTGACCCAAATGTGATGAGAGGAGTATTTGATCATTTTCTTCCATGAGTCCCGCTCCTTCTCCTTAGCTTTCTGTGAGGCTGCCAGAGGGGGTCTGCTCCTGCAAACCTTACGTCAACTTCAAACTGTCAACCTCTGCTGGATATAATCTGGCTGGTAAAACACGTGCGCTGTATGTCTCCATTAAACCTGCATCACACGAGAGGCTGAACAGTTTCTGTGCATGCAGATTGCTGGAGATTTACGAGCAGCTCTCACCTTATCTTCATGACGTAGATTTTTATGGTCTCCATGGACGACGCTCATCCGCTCTTGCCTTCATTCCCTCTGAAATCAATTCTGTCTCTTTTGCTCCTACTCGGTGTGGGTTACCATGGACACCGCTCCCAAATGGTTTGCACATGAATTTGTTTATAAGTGTTTCTTGGAGTCATTTGGAATGTTTTTTTTTTTTTTTGCAGCAAACATAAACACAAGTCATGAGTGATGACACCCTTAAAACTTTCTTTTATTTTAAATTCTGAACACTCCCATCAGCATCTGCTTTAAGAGCACAGTCAGCAACTACTTTAGAAATTCTGATTAACCCAGGAAAAAAAATCCTTTGCTTTTAATCTAATCTGATCCAGAAGGAGTTAAAATTGTGCCAACATGGATTTTGTTGGGCCACACTGCAAATGCAAATTTCTGAATACTTCTCATTTCTGCTTCCAAATCCCCATGAAAGGTCTAACTGGGCCAGGAGAGGTGGACAGAGAGGATTCAGTGGTTTAATTTACCGAGGGCTTAATCTGGGGGTCGTCTGGATTTGAGGGGGTGGCTGCATGAGAATATCAGATTCTCTATCCATCCGAATCTAAATATTCAGCACGGCTGGAGCTTTACACAATTTCTCTGGTACTGATTTGCTAAGGGAGACAGATTTTTATTTTAATTTTTTGCCTTTATGTTCCTGGTTAATATAGTTTTTTGTATTTCATCTAATGTATGGTATGTATGGTAACGATAAGTGTCTATGTGAGTCCTGACTGTGTGTGTGTGTGTGTGTGTGTGTGTGTGTGTGTGTGTGTGTGTGTGTGTGTGTGTGTGTGTGTGCTTCCTCACATCTCTTATGTAATTCCCTCACGAGAACAAGAAACTAGAAAGTAAGTACATAGTGAATCACTTAATCCAACACAGACTTTAACGGAATGAAAATGTTGTTTACTGAGCAGCATGAAGGCCTGTAGTCACTGCGGTGTGAAGCAGTGATTTGTTGCTTAGAGGTGGTAAAGCCTGACTGATCCCTGTCACTGGGGTTTCAAATCAAAAGAGTGCCATCGATTTTCTCTCCCTGAACTCTACGAGGTGCCTAAGACACCTGCCCTGCAGCCAGCTGACACACACTGATGCCTGCTAACCAACAGCTGACATAAACCGATGCCAGTGCACCACGCTGGAGAGGTTGTGTTGGATCCCTCTCTGAGGTGCCGAAAGCACAACGTGAGATCCACCGCACTCTGAATCATATATCATACACGTGGTATGCCACAGATAGGGTCTTGATTAACATTTTGTAACCAGCGTGAAGGCAGGGAGAGTTGCATGCTAAAGCTGAGAGGCATTGCTACCTTCGGGCCTGATCAGCACAGTTTGTCTGGAGTGATTTCCATCCACAGGGAGAGTGCTTCAATAAGCAGTTCTTCTGAAGCAATCACATGCTTCGGGCTTGCAGCCAAACGTCCCCATCATCAGTTCAGACAATATGGAAAGATGTGGTGAGGTAAGAGTCTGGGACAGATGTGTGCTGCAAAGGGCAAACTAAGAGCAGAAAGGACAGCATAAAAGATACACATCTTTCATGGTAGTCACAGGCGTCTAAAACACAAACACACTCTGACATCAGCTGTCAACGAGGAGCTAGGCTAGACCATTTTAAGAAAAGGAAGTTACATTCGTCAGATGGACTTAATATTGCAAAAAATATTTGTTCAGCAAAAATGTCAAATGGTCAGTTAAATCTGCATTTCAAGTTTCAGGAAGGACATTCATAAAACAAAGTGGTGGTAGTGTCATGGTCTGGACCTGCTTGGGGGAACCATGAATTCGGGTCTCTGCCAGAACCCAGATAATATCTAAACTTTGAGCACAGGAAAATCCTTCAGTGTGGCTAAATTTAACATGTTCTGTAAAATAAATTCAGACAAGGTTCCTCCAGAGAGACTGGGAGACTCTATGCATCCATTGTCTGAACCCACTTGTTCATGTAGGGTTGCAGGGGGACCGGTGCCCATTTCCAGCAGTCAACCGGCAATCAGGCAGGGTACTCCCACCTAAGAACAATTTAAACCACGCATGCACAGGGAGAACATGTAAACTCCACGCAGAAAGATCCCAGGCCGGGAAGCGAATCCAGGACCTTCTTGCAGCAAGGCAACAGCTCTAACCACTGCGCCACCTGACTGAGACCTTTATCTGAAATGTTCACTTTCAGCCAGTTATTAATGTTAGTGGGTAATCATGTTGTTTTCATTTGTTCAGGTTTGGATGGATTTTTCACCACAAAAAATACAATCATCATTGGAACACTGCATGTTGTATCAACTCAGGTTTTGCGATACCTACATCACACACACACACACACACACACACACACACACACACACACACACACACACACACACACACACACACACACACACACACACACACACACACACACTAGTTGGCACATGAGGCAGATTTCTCCTCATCGCTCAGACCCAGTGTGTGGGAGGGACACCAGTCATCAATCAAATGAGGAAGAAGCTCAAATCTGGGGGCAGGTAGCTGACTCACTGTAGCTCTAAAAATCTCAGAGGATGAAGAGGGGCGCTGATACGATCTAATCTCTAACTGCAGAATGAGCAAAAGACTTAAAAAGCCCCCCTAAGAGCTCAGAAGAACAGACCGCATTGCTGCTGACAGACTGCCCTCGTATCCCACACCAACTACCCCCTCCTCTCGCCTAAAAACACACACAACCACGCCTCCAGAGACGCGCACAAGCGCAAACTGAGACACACCTCCTCCTCCATCACACACACAAACACACACACTCGCTCAGAAAAAGCCATGATCGGGAGTGAGAGCGCTGCTGAGGGATTCAGATAACATCATGAAAGGCGAGTGTTTTATTCCGAAAGGCGCGCAGCAGGTGCAGTAGGACTGCGCCTCATCGAAGGGAGAGCGCGCTGCAGCTTCACCATGTCCAACGCATCTGAGCAGCTCACTGCCGTGACGGTAAGGCCCTCGATCGGTAAAATCAGAAAACTTACAGACGAATCAAGCCTCTGGCTCCTCTTTCCTGATTTGAACCCGCAGCTTGAATTAAAAAAATCTTCAGTCGTGTCCTTCCGTGCGCATCCGGTCAGCACCAGAAGGTGCGGAGGCCCGTTGCCGCAGCATCCAAATAAAAGAAGCGCAGAAGTGGAGCTGCTTCAAGGCTGCATGCGCCTCCGGGCCCACGGCATCAGCTTCATCATCGTCAGGAAAACCTAAAGCACTGTAGAGTTTAGTTACCGTAATCCATTTTAAAAAGTCTCATGCAGAAAGTAAAGCAAGGGCATTTTAAACTTCTTATGACATTATTTTACTGAAAGTGAACTCAGATATTAAAGCACACAATGCTGATTCTTAGTTTTAGTCAGATGTGGGATTTTTTTCCTGTGTCAAACTGCAGGCAGGCTTAATGGTTTCTTTTCAGTGTGCTGTATCCATGGAGACAGGAGGTGGCATGTGTTTTTTTACTGCTTGAAAGAGTTTAAAAGGAGCTTTGAAAAATTACACAACTGAGCAGAAGGAACTTGTGCCTTTAAGATTGCACAAATGAAAATATGAAAGCCTGAAATTTTGCATCATAACCTGAAAAAGAGAATAAGACAAATAAATGGTGTCCAAATCTTTTGTCATTAAGTCAGACTTTAATCAAAATCTTCCTCAGTTCCTTAAGGCAGTGGTATTAAACCATTGTCTTATTCAGTATTCCATCAGTATTTATATTGTCTTACCTTTTTAACTTAAAGTGACTGTGTGTCTTTTTCCTGACGATAGGGGGCAGTAGATACTTAAATTGTTGCAATCAAGCAGTATTTTTGTGTTGGAGTAAGACCTTACCAACAGATCCCCATTAGGGTCAAAAAGCCCTGGGGAGTGTAAACTTCAGTAATATAACAAGCACATCAGACAAGGGCAGTGAGTGAAGAGGTAAGTGTGTAAAACAACAATGTATATGAATGGTGAAAGTTTTGTAACCGTTAGTTACAAATCAGTAAATGTGTTTTGTCCTCATGGGCTCCCATAGAAGGAAACATGATATCTATGATGTTGCCTTGAGACTTAGACCCGCTCCCATATATTTTAGAGCAGATTTTTATGGTTATATGTTAAGAAGCCACCAATATTTTCAGCAATTGGGCATCGTTTCATTCATTTTCACCAACATTTTGATGGATATTTCCAGATATTAATGATAAAAACTGCACATTGTCCCTTTAAAAAGAAATGTTTTTATTTGCTGATATTGATTTAGCTGAACTTCAGACATAGTTTATAGAAAACCAGACTTTTCTCTCTAACTACATGCATTGCACTTTGCAATTTCCTATCTACATGAAACTTTAAAATGAGCTGAATTACAGTCAGCATCATGCACATTTAAACACCCAACAAGTTGGCTTTAACAAGGCAAACAGTGTAGGGTTGTGTGTGAGGTTGGTTGGAAAGAGCCGTGATATTTAGGTGTGTTGTAGAGACAGACAGGGAGAGCTGGTCTCTCCTATCTCATCGGGATGAACAGATGGTACCTCACGGTTGGCTCATGGGCTAGTGCCAGCTAGAAAGCTCATGTGTATGAAAGACATAGAAAAAGTCATTGTTGGAACATTTTGTCCATAGTGCTAATGATGCTAATAAAATAAAATAAAATTACATTTAAATCTTTAACATACAATATATTATAAAAATATTTTCATAAACACTTCAATTAAAAGGAGTTTTTAATTTGTATTTTGTTACATTTTTTAAATTCCAGTTGTGCAACTGTTTCCTGTCTAGTTTAAGTTAATTGCTTGACTGCTCTATTGATGACGGATGAACTGGCACACTTCGCTTGTCTCATTCAAGCTTTAAAAGTAACAAATGTTGCCAGGATGTGGATGTTTGGTTCTCTGAATTGTCTTATTTGACCTTGTTGGTAAATCAGTGACTAAACCCAAACTTTCTCAGGACCACGTGCGTTTCTTGTAAATATTTCAGTCTGTGCCCCTTTTTTAGAGCATTGCAGCTAAAGCTGAGAAAAAAAAACAAACCCTGTATCTCTCTCTTCTACAGGCTGTGACTTTAATTTACAATAACTGGAGAGCCTTGGAGTTTCTGCAAGATGACAAGGACACATCCCCCTGAAACACTGGCGTCAACTCTGTACCAGGACATTACATCTAACCCCATCACTAACGAATCAGTTTCTCTCCGTTCCTCAAGGCAGTGTGACATGAAAATGATCGACAAATCAGAAATCATCAACAAAAGACACTGCCGTAGTTTTGACTTTATTGAGTCGTTAGATGATCCACTTTCCTTTTCCTCCTCGATGGAGTATAAGTACAAGAGACCTGAGTTTCAGGCATTAAGTAAAGATCTCTGGAATGGACTAGATCAGCCAGGGCATCTTCGGTTTTCATCCCCTGATCTATTTAATACAAAGCAGGTCCAGCAGCACACCACTCAAGACAAAACCAGCTATCTTACGTGGTCAGATTCCAAAACAAGATCAAGATATTATAGTGCTCCAAGAGTTAAAGCCACCCTCACACCTGTACCTATCTCCGTGTCTCCACCAGTAGCTAGAAAAGGAAGAGATGCACTTCAGGCTAACTCGGATTCCTTAAAGATGTCTGAAACACGAGAATCATCCAACAAGGCCTTCCTGAATGAGGTGCATCCAATTAAACTTCAGCCTCACTCTCCCCTTTATGTCTCAGACTGTTTTGAGGAGGAAAAACCAGATAAACCTGCTATAACACCTCATGTTCGGTGCCGTGTGGACATTAAACCGGATGCCTCCGTACTGGAGCACACATCGAGGCGAGTTTCTAGCACACAATCTGACCATCTTTGGCAAAGGTATTCTCAGGCCAGTAGCAGGTCAGGTTTGTACATACCACGACAAATGGTCTCCTCACCAACACCCACTCCGAGCGAGTGCTACAGTGGAGATTTTAGACAGGGATATCTTTACACCACCAGCATGTCTCCGTTATCTTACCAGCATCTAGACATGCGCAGGATGTCATCGCCAACAGCACCATACTTGAATCCAGAACAAAGAGCTTATTCAAATCCTAACATACCAACCAAGTTTTTCTACACAGAAGATGCTGCTCGGTATCCGGTTCACCCTTATTCCAGGGGATACTTTCAGGATGATCAGTCCAGTCTCACAAGTTTTGGAAGTACGGCAACAAGTCAGTACGATCCAAGGACTCGATGGGTTCATACACTTCCTGTGAGACCATATTACACAGACCACCTCAACAATAGAGATCCAGCTCATTCTGTATATAGTCGACCCTACTCTACAAATGAGGCAGGGTCATATTTTTCTCAGACTCCCTTTACTAGAGCTCACTATGGGGAAGACGGTCACTTCAGTCCGTACCTTATGAATGGCCCAAGGTTGTTTTATTCCAGACCATTCAACTCTCCTGAGGATCAGCACTATCCATCAAGGCCATATCACACAGAAGGTCGCCGACGCCCTCGAATGTCTCAGGCCTTTTCAGATGACTGGTATCGTTCAAGTATATCTGGATTCTCTAACCAGTCCTCTCAAACCACACCACCAAGGCTAAGACAAGACTCTTGTATGTCCCCATGGTTTACCAACAGCTATACAGACTCACATCAACTAGGAGCAGATGTCAAAAACCACTCCAAGTCTTGGGACAATATTATCCATCCACTACATGAAAGACAGCAATTTGTGCCTCGTGGACAAAGTTATGAGAATCTGTTTCACCAAGCAAGGCATGGGACATCTGCTGATGTTACATCCAAGCCTGTTATCCTTAACCTTTCAAGTTCACCAAGACGCTATGCTGCTCTGTCCCTGTCAGAAAACTCATTGGAAAGGAATTCAAGCAATCCTTGGAGGAATTCCAAGAGTGGACAATGGTTTGTTACTCCAGAGATCACGATAACAGACAATGACATAAGTGCAGGCAACAGCAGGCGTCGTGATGTCCACTCTGTCACCTGGGATTTTTCAGATAGCAAGAAAGGACCATCTCCAAGGGTGAATCAGAATCAGAAGAAGCAATCCAGTTTGACGAACGTGACTAAAGAGAGAAAACACAACAACTTTTCTCTTCAGCAGAGTCTGGAGCAATTGGATGAACTTTTAGCTGATCTGGTTGTTGACTACAAACCACCTATTAGCAAAAAGTCAAGTGAAAATCTTTTGGATCAGCTGAAACAACTGGTCACAGAAGACAATGGCAAAGACACAGAATCTGCTGGACTTGATCAATGCCTCAACACACAGCTCCTATCCTCTAAATCCAGCCCAGATACACTTAAAGATCCCGATAGTGGGTGTGATGCTTTACAAAGGAGTGCAGAAGAATGTTCTCCAGACCACAGCACTGATGAAGATGACACAATGGTGTGTGCAAACAAGAAGTGTAACCAGACAGAGAGCATGTTTAACGCTTGCTTGTACTTCAAATCCTGTCACAGTTGTTACACCTTTTACTGCTCACGAAACTGTCGCAGGGATGACTGGGAGACCCACAAGGGGACTTGTTTGTATGGACGTGTCAGCAGTGTGTGTCGTCACACTCTCAAGTTCTGCAGAGAGAATTCAGATATCCACAAAGCCTTCTCACGCATCGCTAAAGCTGGCTACCTCTCCAGGGGAAGGGGCATCCTTTTTTTGGGGTTTGCTAATCCAGAAACCGCTGACAAATTCCTGCAACTTGGGCTTCAAAGCCTCCTCATGTCGCCCACATACTTGTCTTTGAGAGAAGTGGATGGCTTTAAGGACAACCTAGGTGAATACTGCAAGGAATTGCAGCAGGTAGGTGATGAATATGACCCCAGTGAATGTTTCCTTCTGAATGTATCTGTAGCTGTTGGTGAACTAGTGCCTAATAGACCTTCCCCAAGGGTCCAAACACCAACAGTTAGAAAATATGCAAAGGTGTCCTTGGCCTCCTCAAGTCCTGACAAAAAAGTACTGAAGAAGGAGAGCGAAATGGAAACTCTTATTCTCACTCCGCCTCCAGGCACACCAGACATTGACAAAGAGGGGGAGGAGGGAAGAAAAGCTAGGGAGGTTTGCTTTGTCAATACCCAGCGTGAGCTCAGGACCAGGGGAGTCTTCCTTCGTCACGAGTACCCAAAAATCTACAATCAGCTGTGTGAGTTTGTGGAGAGCAACAAAAGGTTCACTCCTACTACGATTTACCCGATTGACAAGAGAACAGGGAAGCAGTTTATGTGCATGATCATGGCTGCATCGGAGCCAAGGTCACTTGACTGGTTGGGTACGCCTCACCTTTTAGATGACATTATATAACATAGCACTAAATATTAACGATGTCAAGAAGATTATATGTAATTAGTGTAATAACATGTTGTGATTTAGCAGACTGAATGCTGATTTAAAAATGTGTATATACATGACTTATATGTGTCTCCTTTTTCTTAGTGTTACCCCACAAAGCCCCTGATTGCACTTTTCGAGGTTGACCTATGTTGCTTTTGGCTTGTTTTGATTCTGGTGCACTCAGAAGGATGAATAGCCTGCATGTTGACTATAGGCTCAAACCCAGTTATCCAGGTATTTATAGATGTACAAAGACAATATCTGAAGCACACATTCAGGGAGTGCACAGCTGACAGCTCCATGTATTTACTGACCCAGCCAGATGCCATGCTGTAATGGCTGCTTATATTATTTTTCAACATTCAGATGAGCAACTTACATTAGAGCCTGTTTCAATGGCTGTAAAATTACAACTGTTTATTTGCATTTATAAAGTATTATTTCAGTGCTATACTGTAGTTGTGGAGCCATTTTACTTGTTATTTCATAGAAAGATACAATCAAACCATCTAGTTTGAACCCAATTTTAGTACAGATTTTAGTTGGAGCTTATCCAATTGAATAAAAAGGCTTGATGTCATTCTTGTACAAATAGCTTAGCTTGAAGTGGCCTTCATATGAAAACAAACAAATGCATTTGACACAAAGCAATGTACGAGGATAGCTATTTCTAAAGTCATGACAGTTTTAGATGTAAGTTGTTTGAAACACCATTGTAAAAAAACAATTTAGCTCAGAGCATGTTATGTATGGTTTTTGAAATATTGCTATTGCTTATAATTCCATTTATTATGTTTAATTAATAGCATATGATGCTTAGAAAAATATGAGGTTTGAAGTATGTATTGATCATTTTAACATCATGCCCTAGAGATCTTATTGAAATTATTACAACAGTATGTTCTTAAACCATATGCAATGAAAGAGCAACCTTAACACCTATATTGTAAACTTATGTTTTATTATAAGTGTTGAACAATCCCTTTGAACTAAGAGCTGTTTGCACTGGACCATACATTTTAAAACAAGAATGCTCTTAACACACCTGCAACACTGGACTTGGACATGTCTGCTTTAAACGCCACTGTAAGCTAATAGAAGGTTGCTCTTTCTCTTCGGTATACAGCTATCTTTGTGCAAGATTTTCTTCAAGTTTCTATTTTGTGATGTTTCTAACCTACACTAAATAAAACGAAATAAATGGAATTTAACAGGTTATGTTTCAGAAATTCTTTTTTTTATAGGTTTTTATGTTATATTTTCTCACAGTTCCAACATTCATATGTTCACAATATTACAACATTAAACATTAAAAAAGTATGTAAGTCTGAGTAAAAACCAATCATTACAATCTTAGAAACATATTATTTGATGCCTTAACTTTGTTTTCTTCAATAGAACAAATGTTCACAAAGCTGTTTTAATGTTTATATATGTAGTTATGGATGAACATTAAATGTTAGTGTTTATTTAGATGGGATAGAAAAAGATCTGCAAAATATATGCCAGTCTTATTTGTTTATACATGTTATTTATCATTCATGTAATTGTTTTTGGTGGTTGGCTATCAGTACAGTAAAGGTAAACAATCAAGGCAATGACTTTTATGTTGTTAGAGCACCACCTAGTGGAGAACACATCCATTACACCTCCCAAATGAAGCAAAACGGAAAAAAGAAAACCTCACTTCGTTAAGAAATGCATTTTGTTCAACATATATTTGTTTTCATTTAACTTTGCAATTATCACCACGCATTGAAATAAACAAAATATGTTCCTCTCTGTGCTCTATGGCATCCACAAACTGAGAGGGGCCACACAGAGGTTTATTGTATATAATGAAGAAGGACAAAACTATTCAAAGCTAAGGCCAACAACAGTAAAACTTTAAAGATGCTATAATGTGACATATGCTCACCCACGTGATACATTATTAGATATTATATGTATCTTGATGATCTTTACAGAGATCTTCAACAGTAAATAAAAATAGTCTGGTTTGTTTTCAATTTTTGTGAAATCTCCGTCAACGCCTCCTGTTGTGCGCATGCGTGCTGCGCAGGTCTCCTCGTGATGACAGCAAATGACAGCTTTGTCCGCTTTAGCTAAAGCCAGTGAGAGACCGCTAACCGCTAACACACAGTGCTTCATACGCGAGAAATTCCATGAACAGCCTTGTTTAGAGACGTCGTGATCAACTTTTACAGGCCAGTTACATTTGGTAAGTAGCTCAAGTTCTGTTAGCATGTATTTTTGATCACGTTTGCTCTTAAAGAACCTTGCAGCCTGAAGCTAAGCTAACGTGACTAACCAGCTAGCTTATCGTTAGCTTTTCTAAACATTCACCCCGTTCACCTGGTTATTGTTAGCAGGCTAGTGTGCTAGCCAGTTTAGTAGGTTGTTTACTGTGCCCCTTCTCCAAATCAGTACAAGCACACTTTGTCTTTTGTGAACATAGTATCAGGGTGTCGTGAAGTGCTGTTCCCCTCATTGCATTTAGCTGCCCAAGTGTTATTAAATATGCTACTTTAAATGATATTTATAACATTTACAAGTTAAATTAGCAGGTGGAACTGGACGTTAACCTATCTGACCAGTTGCCTGCCTCGTAAATTCTCGGTTTTCTGTTATCTTTAAGACAAGGACAACATAAACTCAGCTCATCAGCTTTTAGCCGCAAATGAATAAAGTAATTAATACATTTTTGCCTATTTCACCTTCAACTTAATATAAACAAATGTAGCATTTTAAACATTTTTAAACAGAATTGGTATTGTAATTATAGTCCCAGAGGTAGTTTTAATGGTGGATTTTGTCTTGGTAGTTTTTATAACTGTAACTTTCAACTGTGGGTTGCGTTTTTGGAAAATGAGGAAACGACTACGTATAATGAAATAGTTTCGCTAAAAAATCTATTAAAATAATCCCCGAGAAAAATGTGCTGCTTCTCTGTCTAAATATCAATCTGATATTTTATTAGATCTAAACAAATTAGTTTTTCATATCAGTTGTATTCTCGTGTCTTAAATAACTCCTCTATTTTTTACTCATGCTTACATTCCTATCAGCTCCATGTAAATCTGAGTCAACAGGCACTTCTTGCATCGTGCTGACTTCACCACGTCTGGAAATGAGTCATTTTCGTGATTTTGAACAAAGATGACTGCCTTGTGTGTGACCACAGGACTTTATGGACACATCCTAAAGCAGCTGGTTTTCTTCTTTGGCTGATTAAACCTGAACCACCATCTATGCAATAAATGTACAGTTATATAGGTGCTGTGCTTTGACTTAAGCAAGAGGTATTGATACAAATTATGATCATGCTTCTGTATGAAAATAGGAATATTAGTGAGAAAATATCTTCAGCAGGATAAACACAGCTGTTATGTTTAACAACAAGAGAAACCTCAACGTTAGCTAAATCATGCATCTCATTTTCATGCATCTCGCCTCTGTCAGTGCGCCCCAGGGCAGCTGTGGCTACATCGTAGCTTATCACCATCAGTGTGTGAATGTGTGTGTAAATGGATGAATGATACACTGTAGTGTAAAGCGCTTTGGAGTCCTTACCTTGAGAGGCGCTATACAAGTGCGGATCATTTTATCATTCATTTAGACGGTGAAGGTGGGAATATATTATCATGACAAAAAATAATAATCTTGGGAAATTTTAAGGCTACTTTACGAACAGATGTGAAATAAAAAAAGTCTTATTATATTCATTAATGGGATAAAATGACAAGCTTTTCTGTTAATAGCATAAACATTTCAGAATAGCTTTAAAAATGATGTGGGATGCCAAGGTACACTGACCTGTTTATGGATATATGGTAAATGTTTAAGTTATAGTAAGTACATTTTATTTATATAGCACTTATCACAGACATAGAATCACATAGATAAAAAAATCATAATGATCTCAAAACAGAAATAGATTAACATCAGAAAAAATAAAGTGAAAGTTATTTCATACTTAGATTTTTATTTAAATTCTCTGTTATAACATCAGAATCAGCACACCTTTCTCAGGTTGTTTCTGTTTGATGTAGTCGGTCTCTAAGAGGCAGAATACTCTCTCCACTCCCACTTGACTCTGATTTAGACTTACCGTTTAGCATACCTGATTAGGACTGTGGGAAGAAAGGGGAGACCTTACTTTGGTGGGATGGCGCTACCATCACAGCACTTTGTTAGAATGTGTTCTAATCATTTCAGCTATGTACCACACAGTAATGTGATCCACAGCAATAGATAACTGGACAAAGACCAGCAATAACTGACCTCACATTGTTTGCACAAAATTGTCAGCTGTTGTTTGGCTTCTTTTGGGTATCCCTCCTGCTGTAGGGCACATCCCACTACCCAAGTGTTGACAGCGCATTGTCTGGTCTAAGTCAAAGCCTCAGAATAATATATCAGTAACCACTACAGATACGGGAGTTGCAATGTTGCCTTAGTGCTCAGGAAATGTGTGGTTTGAGATTTCCTTTCACTGAAGTGATTATTTGCATCATCAAGAAATGGCAGAAGGCTTTGGCCTGGCGCTGAGCATTCCAGTCTCCAGCATGCTCACCCCACTGGTGCTCTTTAACGTTTCATCATGATAACTTTGATAATGCACTAAGACAACTTCCACCCAAAAGCTCTGGAGCAGAACAGTGTCTAGTTCACTTTTGTTAGCTTGCTGTGTGCAAGCATGTGTATTAATTCATTTATCATCAGATAACGTCTGTTCTATATTAGCTGTTATAATTTGGCTGTTTTAGATTATGACGTGTTAAAAGAAAACAATACATTAGGGATACACAACATATCAGCATCAATATTGGTATTGGCAGATGTTAGTCATTTTTTAACATATCAATATCGGTCTGATAAATAAAACTGGGCCGATATTAACATCCGATAGTTTTTCCATCTTGTTTCTGTTTATCTGTTTCAGCGGGTGAGGGAGGTGATGTGTATTTGTTTAGTCACGTGACAGTTATTTTAATCATCTCAGAAGCATTAAAGTGTGTGTTGTGTGGACATAAAAACATAAATTTAACTGTAATAATTTTCATTCTATACAAAATCTGCTGATTTTAGAAGCATTAATGTCAGTAAATCAGTATCGGCAAACTGTGATATTAATATCTATATCGGCCCAAATATTTCATACCGGTGCATCACATCTATAAAGAAAACATTAACTAACAGATAAATGTAGAATTATGTTAATCTTTGTAAAGGGCATTGGGAACCCTGAGCCCAACCGGTCCAACAAGTATTTACTAAGCTTTTGTTTTGCTTTGGGTTGGTTTTGTTGTTGTTGGCTGACACAATTTTTGCTTTGTTTATGTGGGAAACTATAGTTGTGATGAAATTGTAATTACTTGCTTTGCACTCTTAAGTAAATTTCCATGTCTATAAAGTCACTGACAGTGGAGGTAATTCAGCAACAAACACTTGAGGAGTTGTGTGAACCAGACTGGAAAGATCTTGATCAAGGGGAATGCTAGAAATCTGGTGTGCTAGCTGGAAGATGTTTTTAGGGTTAGCAGAGAAAAGGCGCGTGCTCTGTAGCATCAAAGTTTCTGTGATCCCCAGATCAGAAGGATAAATCTGTTTGGGGAAAACTGAGATCAGAGTTATTTCTTCACTTTTACCCCCCCCCCCCCCCCCCCCCAAAAAAAATCTGTTTGAACTCAGTTTTGATTTATTACTCTGAAATGCTTTACAAAGTTCTAGATGCTTGTAATCCTCCCAAAAGATGTCATTTTAGTCACAGATGATTCAGTTATGCTGTAATCCTTCTGAGCAGTGTAAGATATGATCCACAGCAGAAATGTGAAGAGGATGTTGGCTCAGAGTCACAAATGCCTTTTGTAGAAAGTGGATTTTTAGAATATCTATAAAAAACTATTAGTTCCATTGGTTGGTTGGCTTGTTCGTGTGTCAGATCATGTTGTGGGAGAAGTGGGCCATGTTCCAAACCTTTTACTCTTCTTGTTTACTCTTTGTGCGTCATAGTTCCAAAATTAAGGATGTCCCGATACATTTTCACTTCCGATACGATACAGCTATTGCAGCCTACAGTACAGACCAATGCCGATATCAGTCCGATAAAATATCAGCAAAAATGAGAGTCAGACTGATATGGGGGAGGGGGGGGTTTGCACGCTCCGTCCCGTAGCGCTCCTCCGTGAGAGCGGGGGTGGTGGTTGGGGGTTGCACACATTACGCTGCTGTTTCTCACCAGTGTCAGCTGATGGAGGGCTCTAGTTTTGTTGCGCCATTCGTGTCAGTGGACACGGTAGGGTCGGGGAGGGGGGCGGGGCATGATGCTTAGCCTGGCGGGTGGGCAAGTAAAGCCTGGCGGGCCACCAGGCTTATAAAGCGCCGGGGGAAACCCTGTATACATTTTAGCAGCACATTGATTGTTGGGGTCCTTCAGGTCCTTTCTTCAGTCTAGTAGTGGCGGCAGTTGGCCACATACAGTAGGTGCCTGATTTATTTATCTATTATTTTTAATCAGCTTGTAAAAATAATTTCGGCTGAAAAAATTTAATATATATCAGCCCAGTATATTGACAGGCCAATATATCGGTCGGCCTAGCACAAATCACACGTACTTTTACCTATTTCGTAGTCTGGAATGTATGAAAGGCTTGATCAATTAATATTACTCCGAGAACAAAAGCCATCAACAGTAAGTATAAAAAAACAATTAGAAAATCTTCATGTTTTGTAAACTTCCCCAGTTCAGTTCCACCACTGGAAACTTGTGCATGACAGGTGTTGCACTGAGCCACACAGAAAAATACTACCACATGGCTGACATTGCACTTGTTCCTTTCTACTTCACTAGGATGCACTGTTCTGATCACATGAGCTTTGTATGCTGGATCTGGGCACTGCTGGATAGAATTGCTAGAATTACATTTAAAACAGAACTGACTGCGTATGTCAGATTTTTGATGCAGTTTGATACAATTCGATACTTTTTTGAGCCGATATCGGACCTATTTCCAATATCAAATTCGGAACGGGACATCCCTATCCAAAATAACCCAGAACCTTATTTAGCACCTTATGATTTTTGTTCCCATGACACCTGTCACATCAACCGATACACAGTTGGTTTTGTTTTAAGTAATCAAAGACGTAATCGGCCTGTTCTTTCAGATCTGTTAACATTCACACGTGTAACTCAACGTTTTAGATTCTGATTCTTGTCAGAGTGTTGTTGGGTTTCTCTTCTGCTTCAGAGTTCCTCAGCGGTCTCACTGACTGACTCACTGGTTGGCATAGCGTGGATCGCATCTGAGCTGACGGACAAACAGCAGCTGGTCTAGTTTAGCTGCTTTTTCACTTCTGTTTGAGGATTGTGCTTATTTAAAAATGATTGTGCATGTAGAAGTTCATGATGAGTGTCCAGGCTTAACGAGGGGAAGAGTTCATTTATTAGTCGTCTGTTGTTTGTTAGTATGAATCCGTTACTGGAGGGATGAAAAATAACTTTTTCCCTGATGCGTTTATGCAAATGTTCTTGGCTGACCAGTTTCTATATATGTACATTTCTAGCATTTTTACATATTTTCAATCTGTTCAGCAAAAAATACCAAGAAACCTTTAATTCTGTTTATAATAATATACATAAAATGAAATGGCCATGTTCTGAACAGGTTTTAAAGACGGTCATTAATATTTCAATTGGATTCTTTAAAAAATTAGCAATAATTAGAAAATTCTCAACCAGACAAACATATTTATTGAGAAAACAAAAGCTGTTATTGTTTTCAACGAATCACTCCTCCAGGTTTGTGTTGTTTGTGGAGATAAAACATCAAAGTTGCAGAGTGGTAGAGTCGTGTTGCTGTTATCCAATCAGAGGCGACATGTCCAAATATAAGGACATAAGACTCCAAAACCTGCTGTCTGATGCTTGGCTGGGATGCGACTCACGGCTAATTCCTGGAAATGGTGCACTAGTACACCCCCACCCCAAGTACATTTATCTCAATGAGCAATGTGTTTTTCTTCTGATTGCGGCAAGTTTTAAACAAGATTTATTAAATTCTGAATGCCATCGGTTACTGCCAGTTACAAAAATATGTGACATCAATACTACTTCCTGTAGCAAATTAATCCACATGTTTGTTTTATAAGATCATAACAAAATAATATCAAATGTTATGTACACACACCGATGGACAATGCAGTGGTTTATGTACTTATTTATTTTGAGTAATTTTTTTCAATGAAAAAAAATATTCTGGTGAGTTACTTTATAAATGAAACTCATACTTTTATATTCTGAAAAAATATTTTTGGGATGCCCTGCCCTCCATGTGTGAACACATAAAACAAAAACGGGGTTAAACTCATTCATTTGTGCTTGGACATGAAATAACTGTTTATTTTTTCAGACGGTTTCTGGCTAGTAGTAAAGAGCTCAATGCTGTTCTGCTTTTGGTTGCAGTTCCTGGTCTTAGACAATAAACATAAACTATTTTACAAGCAGCATGAAGAGCTTCCCTCCATTTCTGCTTGCTTTGGCCTCAGCTGAAAACTAAAAGCGTGACTTCTCTCGGCCATCAACAAAAAAACCTCCTCACTCCCACCTAGCTGCACCTTTGATCTTTTGATCAATTCTTTTATGATTACTTTGCTTATGTGCCATGTCCTAAATGAAAACGACCCAGCAGGAATCCTGGTCATCACAAGTTTCAGTGACTGCTGAAGCCAGTTAGTGCCACTGATGCACACGGACAAGATGATCTGGGAATCAGCAGATTAAGTAGATTTGTCGACAGCATATATTTTCCAAATATGAACCAAAGTTGTGAAATTATTTCATGTTTAATTTACAGTTGTAGTTTCATGTAGAGAACTGATCATTTTCTGTGTAAAGATAAACCAGTTTAAGTTTGTCAGGCGTGTCAAACACTCATCATGGTTGTCTCTCATTCTGTGTGAAACGACCCAGCCTTGGAGTCCTTCCCACTCTCAGGCTGTTTTCTGTGGTCTGGTGTCATTCCACGCTTAAATCTGTGTTTTCAGTGTCGGCAGCCGATTACAAAGGTGCTTTTGTGGAAAGGATTCACTGAGAAATCATTCAGATTTCATGCACTCTGCTTGATTTGCATATTTTGGCCGTGCCAAATTTGAAGAGGAAGAGTGCTTAGCATTTTCTGATGTGTAGCGCTGAAGAAGCTAGCTCTCATTGTTGTTGCAGCTGCTGTGGAAAGTTTACAGAATGCAAACAATTACTTCCCTCCATCAATTGGACTGTAAACTGATGTTCATGCAACCCTTCACAGAAAATGAACACATTTGCTATTTTTTTTATTTTAAAACATCATTTTAAAAAGTTCCAGCTTACTTCAAATAATGAATCTTTAAATAAAGTCACAAGTTGGGACACTTAAAACATTCTGTTTGTGCTTCTTGACCTTAAGATAATTATTGTATACGTCAAAATATTTCATTGTTATTGATAAAAAATAATCTTCTAAAGGGCAAAGCAGAGACGGAGTTCTTCCTGTTCAATAACTCACTTTGACATTTTAACAAGTATGTCTTAACTGATTTATTTATTTATACAATTGTGGAACTGAAACATGAGCAGAAATGAACCTGATGAAGTCACTGTGGGCTGTTTTCCCAGACTTCAGAACCACTTCAGGCATGTTGATTCTGTTTTTCCCAGTTGATGATTCTTGTCAAGTGAAGTAACTTGATTCCTTTCACTGTTTCAATATTGAATATAAAAATGTTGATCTGTTTAAAGTTTTAAACATATTTACCTCCTGTTTCTGTTCGGCCTCCAGCCGTGACCTTTCTGCCTGAGTGAGCCGGTGAAGATGGTGAAGCCAGATATCCACACTCTGGCCCATCACCTAAAGCAGGAGCGGCTCTACATCTCGTCAGAGAAGCAGCTGATCCAGAGGCTCAACAGTGACGTGCTGAAGACTGCTGAAAGGTTGTATCATGCTGCCTGGATCGCCAAGCAGCAGAGGATCAACCTCGATCGGCTCATTCTCACCAGGTCAGTGCCCACCTCCTCTTTGAGCATCCAAGGGAGTTATCTGAATGTAAAATGTGTTTAATGCCTTTTTGTTCTGTTGTTTAGTGCGGAGGCCTCCCCCGCTGAGTGCTGCCAACATGCCAAAATGCTGGAAGACACACAGTTTATTGATGGATACAAGATTCTCGGGTTCCAGGAAACAATCTATGGTGAGTTCCTGGCCAGGTTGAGGGAAAATCCCAGACTGGTCGCATCCTGCCTCGTGGCAGGAGAGAGACTGAACCAGGAGCACACCCAAGGAGTCATCCATACGGTCTTCACCTCACTCTATGGCAACTGCATCATGCAGGAGGATGAGAGTTACCTTCTGCAGGTCAGGAATCCCACCCATTTCTAATCATTAGAAAATACATCTATCAGACTCTTGAAATATTTGTCTTTACATTTTTCCCAGGTGTTGAGGTACCTGGTAGAGTTTGAGCTTAAGGAGAGTGATAACCCGCGCCGTCTCCTCCGACGGGGAACCTGCGCCTTCAGCATCCTTTTCAAGCTGTTCTCTGAGGGCCTGTACTCCGCCAAACTCTTCCTCACTGCCACCCTTCATGAACCCATCATGCAGCTGCTGGTGGAGGATGAGGACCACCTGGAGACCGACCCGTCCAAGGTGACGGAGCGCCTTACTCCAGCCCAGCGCGAACGCTTTGGAGAGAAAGGGTCTGAGGACTACAGGCAGCGAGTGCAGACAGCTGTTGAAGCCAACGAAGCCAAACTCGTTGCTCTGGTGAACAAGTTTATTGGCTACTTAAAACAAAACACCTACTGCTTTCCTCACAGCCTGCGCTGGATCGTGTCCCAGATGTATAAGACTTTATCATGCGTGGAGCGCCTTGAGGTGGGTGAGGTGCGCACCATGTGTACAGACCTCCTCCTGACCTGCTTCATTTGCCCGGCTGTAGTCAACCCGGAGCAGTACGGTATAATCTCAGACGCACCCATCAACGAGGTTGCTCGCTTCAATCTAATGCAGGCAAGTGGTCTGCATTGTTGTGTGTTCATGTTTACACGTTGAAGTTGTTCTGCTTTACGCTAACGCTGCTTGGGTTTTGTTGCACAGGTGGGGCAACTTTTGCAGCAGTTGGCCATGGCTGATGATGATGCAGACCCAAGGAGGAAGAGCAGTTTGTCTAAGTTTGATAAGGTTTGTGTGATTAAAGTATTTTCTTGGCACCAAAGTGAGTAGTAGTTAGCCTAGTGAACTAGACCAAATTCTTGCTTTGCAAAGTTTGGTCTAGGAACGCTCCATTGGAACCTCCACAGCACCTAACAGCATTCTGGCTGGCCAATCGCAGCTTTCTAGAGGGGCTTCAAACACATAGAGAGCTGTGATTGTTCTATAATGGTGGGCCAATTATAGCGCTATATCTGCTTTGTGAACCAGTCACAGCACCTTATCTGCTTTGTGGGCCAATCAGGGCCCTCTATTCGTCTGGTGGGCGGGATGATGCAACATAGTGGAACAAATTGGCGACGGCTCGTTTGAAATGGCTTTTACATAAATTTAGGACTATTTGGACTTGGGCTTTATTAGAATCAGGAGCAGATAGATGTATTCAAGTTCTTTTTTTTAGAAAAAGATTTATTTTCGCCTTCTTCAACTGCGGACCGCCTCGTTTACAGACATTTGTTGCAGTGAGTATGTCACATTGTTCATTGTCCAGTAGCATGCGGAGATCTTTTGAAAGATGGTGGTAGAACCCGCCCCACCACCGAGAGCCGTCAAAGGAGTGTATAGTAGTTGTGTATCTTTGTACAAAGCCACCATTGTTTTGTTTGGCAGGGTTGTGTTGCTGCCTTTTTGGATGTGGTGATTGGAGGAAGAGCGGTCGAGACCCCCCCTATGTCTTCAATGGACCTTCTGGAAGGCCTCAGTAGGACTGCTGTCTACATTACTCATAATCAGCTGCTGGCCCTGGTAGGTTTTGGTGTGAAAGTGCAACATTTAAATGCTCTTTATGAGTCTGAGGTCTCTCAGTGCATTTACATGTACATACATAAAACCAAACTATTGCCCTAAATATACTGGTGTTGTTTTAAATGCATGTAGACGTGTTAGTCAGGCTGAAGGTGAACAGGTTCTAATCAAGCTGAAGCAAACAGATAATGAGGTAGGAACCCGACTGCATCTGCATGTAAACGGCTCAGTCGAGCTGACGCCTGTAACTTCCAGAAGGGATGAGACCACAGAAGTAGTCTTCTGATAAAATCATCGCCACAAAGTAGCATGTGTAACACCACCAACCAGTGCAGTACGTACCCAATAAGCTGTGCTGCAGTGCTGTTGTAATTTCCTCCAGCCATTGTGCATATCCTGTTTTAACTCTGTGTGCTTCACTCCCACTGGCGTTTGCTTACTTTTTGTGTTGCTATAAGATAAGTGTGAGAATACTGAAACAAAAGGGCGCATGTCTGCACCTACTGTATCGGAGTGGAACGAACTTCATTTGAGTGATTGGTTTTCTAATGATCATGTAAACTAGGAAAAAGGCTCCCAGTCTATTACCTTAGATCTGCCTAGATTGACTTAGATGTGCGTCTAAACACACTGAGTGTTACGGACTGAATCTGCCAGCTGCAATACTTTAATATCAGGTTATTCTCAGGGACAATTTTTTCATTGAAACAATTTCAGAGCATATTAATGCACAAATTCCATTTTTGGTTCTTTTTTTAAACACAGATGAGGTTTCTCTTTACCTTGCTGACGTTTTGTTTGCGTCTGCAAACATCTTCAGAGCTGACGCTGATGGTGGCGTCACTTCCTACTCCGTTTATCCGCAGGCAGCAGAGGACTTTGTTGCCCTCTGGTGCCCGCTCTCCCCTCTCCGATGATGCAGTCCCATGCCCACATCTGTAAAATATAAAAAATATGAGGGAACAAAATCCAAACTTCAGTTTGAATAGTTTGAATAAAAACTGCAGCTTTCCTAGTGGTCTTGACTATGAATTGATACATGAACACTTTGTGATAATTATTCAAGACTGCTCAAATGAAGACTGGCAAGATGGGCTGGGGTCTCCATGCCCTGGGTGGCATTTTGGCAACAGAGGTGCCTATTGGGGCCAGTGTGGGAGCTGGCTCCCTGGAGGGCTAAGCCCAACCAGCCATTCCTCCCCATCCCCACACATTTTTCTCCTCCTGCTCCCTCACATCATCACACAATCATGCACATAGGACCTTGGGGGGTGAACAAATCAGGGGGTGTGGGTATGGACCCCATTTCTGCATTCCTGTGGCAACCTGCCCCCCAATTTTATTTGCACCAGATGATGCCCGCACTGCCCTCTCACCACCGCCATGGAATACACCTCAACAACACAAAACACTATATTGGAGCAGGCGGAGGGAGACTAGGGGTCTTAGCACACCTCTGTTGTCACTTGGCTTCCTGGGGCTGGGGGCTAGGAGGGAGATCTGGCCATCTGGTTGGGGTCTGGGGTGGTGGGTTGCTGTGCTCAGCGTTGGGCGGGGGAGCCTGCTCATCAGCACCCCAGCAGAAAGGGTCAAACTCTGGTAACCGGTAATGGTTGAACCCCGTGTGCAGCAGTACCGGGACCAGAGTGAATAGGGTGTGTATGGGGAGCATGAGTGGGTGTCCGACGTGCATTTTTGTAAGTCTTTGGTTGTATGAGATTATGTGTGAGCATGAGGGAGGGAGTGTGTGCCTGTGTCTGCGTACAACTGCATATGTCAGGTGGGGCCTTTGACTCCTCCCTTCTCCTGGGACTTCTTTTGCTGCTATACATCTTCGTCTCCCCTCCCCCTGCCACACCTGGTGTGGAGTGTGGTCCCTTTGTCTGCCTGAGTGTTCGTGGCTCCCGGGTCAGGGGGTTTAAGATTTTTGGCGTCTGCCTGATCAATCCCAGTGGCTGCCTGGTGGGGTCTGGGTCCCTGGGCTCTGCTGGGTCCCCAGCGAGGGTGGTCGCCCCTGCATACCGGGTTGCTGGGTCCCGGGCTCGGCCGGCTGGGGGGTGGGAGGCTGCGGGCGGGCCTGTGGGCTTTCCGCTGATATCTCCCGGGACTCTGCCGGCCGCTGGTTGTGGCCCCCCGAGGTGATCCTCTGTGCCTCTCGAGGGGGCAGGGGCTTTTCTGGTCGCGGTCTCCTTGGGGTCCTTGTGTTCGGGGGCAGCTCCTGGATTTCTGAAACTTGGAGCTCCCTCCATCTCCAATGCATCTTTGGGGGGCAGATCTGTGGCCCCTCACACTCTCTATTGGACGCTCCTATAGAGAAACCTTACATATACAAGCGCGGGTACACACACAGGTGCTCACATAAGTATGGACTCGGGCGCGCTCAGCACATGTCTTAAGGCTGTGGTTGGCACAAAATGCACTGTGATTTATTATCGTGTGATTGTTCAGTAAAACAATGTTGATTTTACATTTCTTCAAGTTGACAATAGGAGACTTTACTATAATGAACCCGGAACGATTGCTCTCCACTTCCTGTTCAGGTGGACTTTGTTCGGAGTGTGATGGCAGGAGACCACCTACGGGAGGAGGAGCACATGGCCCTGGAGACCCTGCTGGCCAACGTGCCCCAGTCTCGTACTGTAAAGAGCAACAGCCTGGAACTGACTCCCTCCAACACCCCCCAGCTCTCCCCCGCTACCACCCCAGCCAACAAGAAGAACAGACTACCCATAGGTACCTTCCTGCGTCTGCGCATTCTGGTTTTTAGATTCTGCTGACGGACACACTTATTACCATGATGCAAGCTCCTGTAATTTTCTGATGCAGAGCTCTGAAAGTGGAAAGACCAGCATTTAAAATAAGAGCTAGAACATCTGAGTGTAATCTTTGGTTTAATGAAAAGCACAATAAACAAGCTGAGTTGAACGGTGATGGCTGGTGAAAGTCCGTCTTTCATGGGAAGCTAATGAGCTACTTCTCGGCTTGTTATAAGGATAATTAGCACGGCCTGGATTGAGGCTCAATTACAGAAATGACAACCAATTAAATTACCAAAAATAAATGAACTCATTTTAATTGGAATGGATGGAATAGATGCATAGATTACCTTCATTAGCTTTCCCCCAAGAAATGCATCAAAGCAGCACTTGTATGAATAGAAATAAACAATTTCTGCTCCCATTTCAGTTAAGGATGTGACTTGATTTTGAGTTCTACTGATGATTCTTCCTCTTACTCCCTACCTTGCCCTTCTTCTTTCCTTTTTGTGCTGCCACTGGCCGACCAGGACAACATTTAGCTGCTATAACATCCTGGGACCCCACAGCCTCCACTTTGTCTGCTCACATTCCGTTAGTAACCCCTTTTGGTGGGTAGCCGGTCAGTTGTGTTCGAGCTGGACTCAACCTAACCCGTGTTATCTGTTGTCTCGCCAGGCTACGTGTTAGAAAACACTCATTAGTCTGTTCTCAGAGCTGCACCGCCACCCTGCTTTCAGTTACGTAGCACTGCTGTTGTCCATGCACTTCCACCACGGCCTGTTTTGCTTCCCACAGCACTTTTGCTGATTGTAAGAATTCAGATGTGTTTACACTCATTTTGTTTTCCCCTTTTTATGTTTTTGCTTCCTCATTCAGCAGAATTTGGCAGTTCATTATCAGGTAGAGTGGGGGGAAATCTCTTAAACCTTTCCTCTTCTCGTCTTTAGGGTTGGGCAAGGCTCGCACTTGAATCTTGACATTCAACTGTTCTTTTTTCCTGAAATATTTCATTCTCTGTGCACCTGCAAAATGCTGATTATTAGTTAAAGAAAGTCCAAATATTATTAATGTATTCCAGTAGGAGTAACATCGCCGTAACATAGTCTTATTAGGGGATGTGTCAGAAAGTCAAAACCTTTTTTCTTTGGTAATAAAATTGATGGCAACATTTTAACAAAAAGTGTTAAAATTAAATTGATTCAGGATTTTTTTAATAACTACTATTCATTCAGGAGCCTCGATAAATATTCATATATTAATTTGTTTATTATTTACTATATAATCTATAGTCTCTAAATGAGAGCTTCACATATAAAAACAGCTGAAACATCCAACTAAGTTTGGCCAAACACTTCTTTCTAGCATCAGCAATCTCAGCCTTTTCATTTTGCAGCCTGTTAATAATTGAGTTAATTGTTGTAGCAACAGAGTAATGAAACTAAATGCATTAAATCATTTTAGATACGTTTGTGTGCGCTTTTCTTTTCAGAAACATAAATAAATGCCTTTGCCAGAGCTTTGCAGCCTAACTGATGAACTGCTGTTTAGCATCAAAACAGGATTTCATTTTCAGGCTTGAGGCTTTTTTTAATGCTAAACAAGAACTAATCTCTTGAGACAACCTCATCTTTAACGTCATATCAGTGAGTTGCAAACTGAAGATTCGTTTTTATTTAGGATTTTTATAGGCTGATTAATTTATTGTGAATTAGATGTAATTTGGCATTAATAACAATTTAGAAAGTTACTGAAATCAGTCGTTTTTATCAAATATAATTACAAGCAACACATTGGTATGACATGCAGAATATAACTATACTTTGTGCTTGTTGTTGTTTTGGGTTTAAAGCCTTATTTAGGAGTTTTAAACGTGAGAAATCACACCTGTTTTCTTCCACATCCCACCAACCAGCAGCTGCTCGCAGCCGCAGCCGTACCAACATATCCCAGGAGGTGGAGCCAGAGCCCGGCTCCCAGGAGTCCCTCCAAGAGCTGGTGCCAGAGGAGGTGCTTGTGATTTCACTGGGAACCGGCCCTCAGACTGTCCCCGGGATGATGTCAGAGAATGAGGTAATGTGACTGGAATTAATGTCCCTTTCCCAGGCAGATGACTGGACACACTATTATTTCGTTGAAGAGTCTCAGTTATGCGTTTGACTTACGTTTGTGTGTGATGGAGAATAATATGTATTAACCCTAACCCTAGAAGAGTTTAGCTGTGCTTTTGTAAACTGCCGTTGTTTCTGCTGCTCTGTAGATTTTGAACTTGCAGATGGGCGATGGGGCCCAGGGGGACGGCTCTGCCGATGATGCTAAGATGCACGGGAAACCAGACAAAACCCTGCGCTTCTCTCTGTGCAGTGACAACTTGGAAGGAATCTCAGAGGGTTAGTTTGCAGTCTGGTGTTTGAAACTTCCATACTTGACTTATTGTGTAGAAATCTGGGGAGCAACATACAAAAACTATACACAACCCTTATTTATTTTACAGAAAAGAGCTCTGAGTTTCATCAATTATAGTGGCTGTAGAGATCCACCAAACTTATTGTTTATTAAATATAAATGACTGAAATTTCATGATTTAAGACTGGAACATCATACAAACCATGTATAAAGCTATTTTAGGTACTCTGCCAACAAACATTCAGGGGATATTTGAAAAGAGAACTAGTATTACATGCTGAAAGAAACTGATGTGTTAACAAAACCTAGATTTAGAACTAAAATTAAGGAGTGGAATATATCTGTAAATGGTGTTAAATTATGGAATAACCTTAAAAAGAAAATAAAAAAAAACTCTGTCATTTAATATATTCAAAAAATGTTCCAAATTGAGTGTACTAAATAATTATGTAAATGTAAATTAAATCAATGATCATGATTGCACTGGAATTTATAACAGGAAAAAGTTTAAAATGAATCTGTATGTGTGTCTGACAAATGGTAATTATATATAAATTGATTATTTCTACTGGAAAAGGGGGCAGAAATTATAAGATGTATTTCTTCATTCTGCTCCTTTTCGTTCAAATTAGATTTTTTGTTATGTATTTCTCATTGTTTATATGTTTTATTTGTTTTTATTTTGAATGAAATAAACGAAGAAAAAAAAAATAAAGAACTCAACACAAAGACACTAAATGGTTGTCCTCTACTTTTTATACACATTCAGTTAAATGTGTCCCTGTTTTTCATTTTTCCTCCAAAGTAGTGAAATTTAATCAGCTACTTTGGTGGTTTTAAAATAATGAGTTCGTGACAAATAATGGCACATGACAGAAATGTGTTGACATGTTAACTTTCCTCCCTAAGGACCGTCCAACCGTTCCAACTCTGTGTCCTCTCTGGATCTGGAGGCGGAGTCTGTTTCCGAGCTGGGAGCTGGGCCCTCCGGGAGCAACGGGGTTGAGGCTCTGCAGCTTTTGGAGCACGAACAGGGTATGTGTTAAAGAAATCATGTATTTGTAAACTCTGAATAATAAACAGACACATGAGCAGGGGTCATCGTTTCTCATCATGTCTCCTTCAGCCACCACACAGGACAACCTGGATGACAAACTGCGGAAGTTTGAGATCAGAGATATGATGGGTCTGACAGATGACCGTGACATCTCTGAGACGGTCAGTGAAACCTGGAGCACTGACGTGCTCGGCAGTGACTTTGACCCAAATATGGATGAAGATCGACTGCAAGAAATAGCAGGTGCAGCTCTTTATCTGTATATCTCTATGTAGATGTTCACGCCGTGCATCAGAGGTAAATTAATGGACATACACAGCTCATTTATCTACTGAACACAGAAACCATCTGTTTTTTAGAGAGACTTGGTGAAATGTCATTACCTTGTGGCGTTTGAATGAAATAGCACCAAAACATGGTGATGCATGGTGCAGAAACACATAAATGCAGCTATATAGAAATAGTGAGCTGTTCTGTGTCTATGCAAAGGTTTATATAGACCCGTGTTTATACACACTAGTATAACATGCTGAGTAGGTTTGTTTTTGCAGATTAAATGTTATTGCTGTAATTTTAACCGTTAAACAAGACAGGGTTTCATATGCAATATGCATGTATGTCTTTTTGATTTAAGAGGAATCCCTTAATATTTGCTGAGTAATCTTCAAGTTTTGATAAAAAATGCTCTTTTTTTAATTAATGACATAACTCTTGTGTATTTTCATTTGGGCTGCAACAACGAATTGATACAATTCGATGAAGAAATGCATTGGCAACGCTTTTCGTCATTTATTCGTTGTGTTGTGTAACTTTTTTTCGTGTTGTGCAAACTTTATGTAACAGTCAATGCGCGCAGCTCATCTGATGTGGCAGCAGATCAGAACGAGAGACACATCAATGTCACACGTGTAATTATTGGATGTTTCTCAATGCCAAGGAACCTCGCCTTGATGTCTTGGCCCCGCACCTGTGGCCTAGGAGATAAGTCATCAGGAACCGCCAAGACGTGTTCCAATGTTCATGTTCTGCTGAGGCATGTGTTCTCCTTTTGTTAGCTGTTTAGCTAGCTGAGCAAGGATACACGGGAGGTGTCTTGTAGCCTAGCCTTGGTCAAAAATTACCCAGAATACACCGCGTTATTTTCTAAAGGATCGCGGAAGGAGAGAAACAAAGGAGAGAACAAAACTGATTCCCTAGCAGTGTTTGAAAAATGTATTTGATCAGGTTTTTTTGCACTCGAGTCCAAATCATTTGATTTAGAGAATCTGCAGATACATATCTGATACTTCAGTAAAGAAAGCGAAGAAACAGAGCCAGGATGTTTCTTTTTTTATTTAATTAACTTTATTTTAACATTTAACAACTCTGTTAACAAACAGAGCACAATCACATGTTCTCAGGAGGGAAAAAAATGTTCCCCTAGCAATTAATTTATTTGACCCCATCCGATTCATCGATGATCCAAATAATCGCTTGTTGCAGCCCTAATTTTCATTCATCTTTTTGCTGTGTTCATATTTAAAATGTATGCACAGGATTCCCTAATCACCACAATAAAAACGTCTCAGTTAAAAAGAGGATCTTAGTTTGACATCTATGAAAAATAAGAGCTCTGCAAATACCGTCTATTTATAGCATCAAAATTCTGAGGAGAAAAAACTCCCACAGCCATAATGATCAGGATCAGGGGTAATTAATGAGCAGTCTGCCTAAAAAAGCCTTTTGATGACCCCCGCTCTAATGGATCCAACACCAAAACAAGTTGGCTCTATGACAGCTGTATGCATTATTGTAGTTTGGTGGTTTGTAGGATGAATGTCATCAGTGCGGGTCGTCGTCCGATCTGTTGAGGTAAAACTTAGTTTATCAGGTTTGTTTGAAGGAACATTTTTGTCTCCACTCCTTTGCGTCCTTTCCCTGCCTCTCTTCTCTCTCTCTCTCTGTCTCTCTGTCTCTCGCTCTCTCTCGCTCTCGCTCTCGCTCTCTCTCGCTCTCTCTCGCTCTCTCTTTCTCTCTCGTTCTCTCTTTCTTTCTCTCTCTCTCTCTCTCTCTCTCTCTCTCTCGCTCTCTTTCGCTCTCTCTCTCTTGCGCTCTCTCTCTCGCTCTCGCTCTCGCTCTCTCTTTCTCTCTCTCTCTCTCTCTCTCGCTCTCTTTCGCTCTCTCTCTCTCGCTCTCTCTCTCTCTCTCTCTCTCTCTCTCTCTCTCTCTGTCTGTCTCTCTCTCTCTCTCTCGCTCTCTCTCTCTTTCTCCCCCTGTTTGCTGACATTCACCTAGTCCCTGTTGTCTTATTGACCTTGGTTCCTTCTCATTTGCATCCACCATTTTTCATTCTTCGGAATTTGGCGTTGGGGGACTTTTCCATCATTAAGTGAATTTACAGCGATTTCCTTATGTGTTTTCTCCGAGGGATTGGGTTATGAGATGCACATTAAATATCCATTAATACCCCATTATCCCTCTGATAAGATTACCATGATAATGAGGCAGAAATTCTAATTGTTTCACTTCTTGTTGTGCCACTCATTTAATCATCCACCTGAAAGACAAGTACTCTGCACCGCTACCTTGAGGACTGTAAACACGGGCAGCGGGAGAGAGCTCTCCCACTGTCAGAGGGGGGTCCTGGCCTCGCCAAGAACAGCACACGTTACTGTCTGGGTGCTGGCATGCTTATGTCCTCATTGTGTGTGAGTGTGTGTGCATGCCATGAAGTGAAAGTAATATGTAGCAGGGAGTGCAGCTACCACAGGTTGACTTTTTGGTCACCAGCCCTGGACACCGACTCCCACTCACACCTGCTTGCTCTCTTTCCCCTCCTCTGCATTTTTCTGCCTTGTTAAGTCATCGTTTCCCAAATGGAGATGGAGGGACATGGCGCTGAAGACTTTGGCAGAGTAATTTGGTTGTGAATTATGCTACACTTAATCAACAGCTCACAGTCGTGGCCCCGGAGGCCAGTGCAGGAGGAGATGCTACTATTAACCTCTGACCCCTGGCACAGTTGTGTGTGTGTGTGTGTGTGTGTGTCTGTGTGTGTCCCTCCCAGGATGTAATGCATGTGACCGCCTAACGTGTTGGCGAATGAATGTCACCACCTCACATTGTGATTCCCTTCATGTGACTCGATAGGTCACATTTCTGTTTACATCAATGCATTGTTGTCATTTTGTTTAACATTTAAACCTCCAATCACAAAGTGACATATTTTTTTAAATTAGGATGGATTTTAGTGAATGTCAAATTGTTACAAACAAGTTTAGATTCAAATGTTAATTCAAGTAAATAAAAATACCAGACATTTGCTATTTTAAGGTTCTTATATTAGAAAGTTTCTCATTTGTAAAAATGAGATGATTTGTATTTTAACTTTAGGATGTTTATAAGAAACGTTCAATAAAAAAGCAAAATATAATTCTAGGATATTATTTAAAAAGTTTTGTTTAAAAAAAATCGTAGTCAGTTTAGATCAGCAAATGCTTCAACAAGTTATAGAGATAAATACGGTCTTCAAAATGGTTGATCCAATTGTCAAAGGGATGGATATGCTTACTAGGGGTGTGAGAAAATATCGATAAACTGAAATATTGCGATATATTTTGTTACGATACTGAATCAATACTTAAAAGCAGTGTCTTGATTTTGATAGAGAATTTACATGCAAATGTTTACTGTGTGCACACACACACACACACACACACACACACACACACACACACACACACACACACACACACACACACACACACACACACACACACACACACACACACTATGTATGTATGTATGTATGGATGGATGGATTGAGTGGTGTAATTCTAACTCGGGCTACTAGGTGGCAGCAGTTTTTACTGTCTTTGTTCGGACTGAACAGCGAGATATTTCACTAACGTTGGTTGTTTCTTGGCAGCTTCTGATCCGAGTTTTCCAGTTAAATTCAAACTATCATCTGGCTATAAGTATTGCAATATATCGTATTGTCTCCCCTGTATTGTTATAGAAATATCGCCAGATTTTTGCCAGTATACACCTCTCACCTCAGTTTGATTCACTCGCATAACTTGGAGATTGGCAAGCCTGAATTTATCCTTAAACCTGCTATTGTTATAGTTGTGACTTCTTACTAAAACAAATAAATGTGCTTCCATGCTGTTTAAGGAGTTTAACTCCTTGTCTCCTCCTGTTCTCAGGGGCAGCTGCAGAGAGCATGCTTGGGAGCCTGCTGTGCCTTCCTGGCTCCAGTTCAGTTCTGCTGGACCCCTACGGCTCCACCATCTCGGAGACTACGAGCGAAGCCTGGAGCGTGGAGGTCCTTCCCAGTGACTCAGGTGGGGGAGGCAGGTTCACTCTACCTCTGCACGCGTGCACATGTGCTGCTTTGGTTATTGTCTCATTTATTGTGCTTCAGGCTGCATGACAGCCTCAGACGTGTGTTTGAATTCACATGTTTATGCGTGCGTGTGTTTCTTTAGTGTAGCGGGGGGATGGGACACCAGGTGTGGCTGCGCGGAGTTGCACACCAAAAAAAAAAGAAGCACATGCATGCATCTGTCATCATATTTGTGTGCCTTTGCCTGTCTTTCAGGGCAGATCTGCCCGTGCCAGTAAAAGGCGGCTAAGAGTTTCCTTAGAGGGACCACCAGGTGTGTTTGCACCTGTGACAGAGAAGTGGGGAGGGAAGCACAAGGACAGCAGCTGTCCTCAGTTTACTGTCTGCTCATATAGAGTCAGTTCTTATCCGAACAGTCTTCACATAGAGCAGTTTCTTGACTCAAAGCTACATTTGTTTATAATGCCAGAGCCTCAAGTTTTTACTGAGTGATTCTTCATCTGTTGTTGCATCACAAACCGGCTGACCAAACCTCGTGCTTGGCTTCCTTTAGTGAAAATCACTAGAGAGCTTTATTAACAGTGGTAAGTGTTTCTTTAAAAAGCTCGGGTTTATGTTAAAGTAGTGCACTGTTTCAATATGTGCAATAAAACATATGACATGCATGAGTGTCTTGATTGCTTTTTGTTCCATTTGCTGCCCCTGTTCCCTTCAGTAATGGTGTGATCCTGGGCTTTCTTCATGTAGAGTGCTTGCTTCATGGCTAGGCAGCAGAAAACTACACTCTGAAGAGCACTTCACCGACACATTATTACTAACAAGCATGCAAATGAGCACTGCTGTTAGGATGGAGCCTCTGGGTTTGACCCAACAGCTCCATCGGGCATCCAAAGAACTGGACACGGTAGCGTTATTGTTTAAATTGGCAGTTACACGATGTGATAATGTTGGATTTGTTGAATATCTTTCATGAATATACTTGCTTAGTAATGATCATAAGAGTTTCATCTGGAGGAACCATCTGTAGCTAATTGCGATTATTTGAAGCCTTTATGGGGCTGATGAAAAAATTTCATCCTCTTGTTTTGGGTTCTTCTGTAGAAGCTCCAGATCTGAAGCAGGAGGAACGTCTGCAGGAGCTGGAAAGCTGCTCGGGAGTTGGTAGTACCTCAGATGACACGGAGGTCCGCGAGGTCAGCTCTAGACCCAGCACACCTGGCCTCAGCGTCGTCTCGGGTAACAACGGCCTTCTTTTATTTCTCTCTGAAAACTGCGTTGGCTCCTTTGAGGTTGTCTCTTGGAAACTTTTTGTGTTTGACCCCGTTTACCCTTTTGGAAAGTCATTATTTAAACTATTTTCATTTGCACCTCGTTTTCTTTTTTTCTGTAGCTCTGCGGTTCGTGTTGCTGGGAGGGGTGTTAACCTGCATACTGGCACCAGTGTAAATGTTTTTTTTCTGAATGACACAGAGGTTAATGCTGGTAGTCCTGTCCATGGGCTCAGGTGGACAAGCAGTGTTGATTTGTGTGAAGTGGTACCGTAGATTAAGAAGCCAGCGGTGACATTCCTGGCTCAGCTCATAGGAAACAGTCCCACAGGATCCGCTCGATGGATAGTCTGCTTCCGATGATCCTTCTTATCCCTGTCTTTCCCTCAACCCATGGGAGCTTACGTTACCAGTTTTAAGTTCCCACTGGGTTCCCACCTGAGAGAGACCATACAGCACAGTCTAAAGAGAATAATATCCTCTTTTGTTTCAAAACCATTGCACATTCAGTTTTTTGACTGCTGCCAAGCTGAGTTAACTCTTGAGGTGATATTGAGTTGCTTTTTTCCTCTTAATGTCTACATATCACTACATTTTTTGTTCCAAAGGTATCAGTGCCACATCAGAAGACATCCCTAACAAGATTGAGGACTTGCGGTCAGAGTGCAGCTCAGATTTTGGTGGGAAGGACTCTGTGACCAGTCCAGATGGGGAGGAGTCAACCCACGGTAGGAGAGTGTCACTTTCCATCATGCTGCTGTCTGTCTGGGCATATCCACATTGATCAGAGCGATCTGCTGCTGTCACCTTGACAGCAGGTGGAAAACTAAATGGCTGCTTTGCAGCTTTTTCCTTTTCTAAATGTTATAACCAATAGTTTCCTTGCCAGCACTGTTATTAGGATGTTGATTGTTGTTCTTCTGCAGGATCCCACCATCTGACATCTCCACCTTCTCAGGCTGAATCCTTACTAGCCATGTTTGATCCCCTCTCCTCAGGTGAAGGTAATTTGCAGTGTCACTATGCTTCACAGCCAATGAGAGCTAGGAATGACTGTCATTAAATCCCTGCCCTAGAGTCAGAGTCACAGAGCAGCTTGAGTCGTACAAAACGAACCAAAAGAGCTCCAGAACCCGTTATTCTGACTCAAGGATGTAAACTTTCAGTATTTCAAATAAATGATCTCTTTAGGGAACTTCTTTAGAGAGAGGGATCTGTGCTTTTGCTTTGTAGTGCAGGTGCATATTTGAATGGTTTGATATTGCCTGTATGTGAATGGCAAGGTGAAGGGATGACAGGTTGAGAGACCTCACCCCGGGCTCTTTGGCTCTGTCCCCTCATCCCACTGAGCTCATGGCACGAGTCTGCCATTGGAAGCTGTTCAGGAGAGAGTCTACCCTTGGAACAGGTGGCCTACCTACACCTAGGGCCCACCTCCCACCAACATCTCTCTTTAGCTCTCTTCCCACACTTAAGGAGGGGTTTTTATTTCATTCTTTTGTTGACTGTTACTTTCTAGCTACTGTGAAGACTTCTAAAATGGAACAACTATACTTCTTTAACATTTGCTTTATGTGAGAATTTAAAAACAGTTGACCCCAAATGACCTGGTGAACATTTCCTCTGACCTTAGGCTCCTCCACTGGGACAATAGTCAGGCCCAAGGTGCACTATCCCAGGCCCAATCACCCTCCTCCTGACCCTCCCATTCCTGAAGCCAGTGCCCTGGGGCCAGAGACACGTCACTCTCTGTTCACGCCTCACTGCTTGGCCCAGTGCGAGCTGGAGCACATGAAGCAGCGCCACTCCTTCCCCGACAGGCTGGTGCGCAGCCGCAGCTCCGACATCGTGTGCCCTGGCCGCCGGCCCACAAGTGATCCCGGCCTCAACAGGCGGGTGGCAGTCGAAGAGCGTGACCCTGCCGGGGCCTTTCCCTCAGGACCCTCCTCATCACCCAGCAAGGACTCCCTGAAAGGAGAGGTAGGGGCCTGTAAGCTGTCTCTCTGCTCTTAGATCTTTTCTTAGGAAACCTTTGAAAGAAACACGTTAAATGTGGTGTTTTTTTCTTCACAAACAGACACAATTTTGTTGATTTGGCTCAGATTAATAAAGCAACAGACCACAGACAGAAGTGGGTAACACACCAGCTGCTCTGCCTCAAATATTTTATTCATGCATCTTCTCCGTAAACCCAGGGCTGAACTGTAGATCTGTTTAGTTTCTTAGACATTTTAGCGGCTCATGCTAAGAGATGTTGCTAATTTTACACATTAGCTAGATATATTGGCTTTTCCAAAGGTGCATTCAGTTCAAAAGGGAAAATAAACTTCTAGCTGTGGGAAATAAAAGTAGTCCAATCTGAATAATAATATGAAACAACAAAACAAAATGGATAATTCACTATTTTTTCTTCAATGTAGGTGAAATATTTAACAATTATTAAAGCAAAACACTTGAAAAAGCAAAAACAAAAAAAAGCAAAAGGATTAAAGTGAATGTTTAATCTGTAGAAATATTTAAGGTTTGTCTCTGAATGAAATGTTTTGAGTCAAATGTTTATTCAACCATTTTTCTTTGACTTGAATTTAGAAATGATGTGTATAAATGTGTTTATACATGTACCTTTGTTATTTATTTCTTAATTGTTTGTGCTGCTGTAACAAGTGAACTTCCCCACTGTGGGACCAATAAAGTCTATTCTATTCTATTCTATTCTATTCTATTCTATTCAGACATGTAAACTGACCCAGAGGAGGGTTTTTAAAACAGCATTCCCTCTTTATTAAACAAACTGCTCACTTAAATAAATGACTTACTGTTGTTTCTCCCCTGTCAAAGATGGAGGACAGGAAAGACAGTGATGACGAGAAGTCCGATCGCAACCGACCGTGGTGGAAGAAACCTTTCTCTTCAGCTATTCCCAAAGGTATGAACGCAGACTGTTGGCCACTGAAAGTGTCTTGTTTTCCTGAAATGAAAGAAGTTTGTTCAGGTGAAATGTAATTCTTCTGGTAGCACTTGTTTGGTTTAAAGTTGGAGAGACTTGAAATGTTGCACTAAAAGAGCGAAACTAAGCCTGTTTCTGATGTGAGAAGAATGATGATATACGAGCTCTTTGATGGAATTCCATTTGGAAAATAATTTCTTGTTATAGGAAGTTGCTGCAGATGTGTGTCCAGTTGTTTTCACAAGCTGCAGAGTTATTTAGGCTTTCTAAAGCTGATCTGTCACAGAGAAGCTTCAGCTGTGTAGATTGTGTGGCTGTAGTCCTCCCAGCAGCGCTGTCAGTTAGCAGCTAATGGCCGTTAGATGGAGCTTTCTGTCACCAGCACTGATGGATGAAAGATTTCTTGTTGCTGCTCTGTAATCATTTTTTATTCATGCGTCTGGGAAAGAATGGGTGTGCCCAGATGTGTTATTTAGTAAAAAATCAAATGTTTGTGAAACAAAAAGCTGCGTTCTGGTGAAACGAACGCCTCTCGCAGTAGCTCTGGTCATATTTGTCTCACTGCTCTGCGTGGTCATGCAGTCGGATGCAGAGTGGCAGCCTGTGCTTTGAAAGGCCAACCCTGTCTGTTGTGTCCCTCACAGTGCTATATTGGACGGCTGAGAGTGATGTCACAGGTAATGCCCCCACGCCGTCGTCGCTGAGCTAGCTTTACCGCTGAAGCCGGCGGCGGCGTGCCACGCTGCTTTGTAGATATCGCCTCAGAGCTTTAGATCTGTGATGTGACATGGTGTAGTCACAGAGTCACGCTCTTCATCTGTGCATTCTTTAAACGCCTTTTTTCTGTTTCGGCTTTGCTCCAGTGCCATTTCATCGTATGCATAGTACAGATTCAGCGTGGAGCGGACTCATCTTATGTTTTCCATGTGCTGCTGAAGTGTAGACTGTTTATTCAGTGTTAACTGAATAAACATCAGATATTTTATTTTATTTTTATTTAAATGGGATAAAACACCATGTACCTTTGTGAAGTTTTGCTACAAACCAAAGGTTTATTTTCCATTTTAATTATCTTTTGCCTATTTGATTTAAACTTTGCTTATTTTCCATTTTATAGTGATAAGTCATTACAAATAAAGTAGTAATAAAGTGGCCGGCAACAGGAACCACATTATGAACCTGTGATGATATCATTGCTGCCCTCATCAGTCATCACCTGTCACCCCTCTGCAGCTCCGATCACAGCGTTTAGGAAAAAGGACAAACACGATAAAGATAAAACGCCTCAGGAGCAAGTTCCACAAGGTGAGCAGACTCTCGCTTGTGTAAAACATATGCACCAGGAGGGATTTTCATTTTAACACACCGTTTGTCGTTGGGCGGTTTGTCAGATGAGCCCAGTCAGAGCCACCAGGCCCAGGCAGCGGAGGACATCCTGGACAAGTACAGGAACATCAAAAGTACCAGCCCGAGCAACGACCCCCCACCCAAAGAGAGACCAGAAGGTCAGGAAGCTAAACCATCACACATGAACGTGTCACACTTTTACAGTATTGTATTATGGGGCGACGGTGGCACAGGAGTTAAGGACTCGCCCCGTAATTGGAAGGTTGCCGGTTCGGGCACAACTAAGTCTGTCGCTGTCGCTGTGTCCTTGGGCAAGACACTTAACCCACACTGCCTGCTGGTCGGAGGAACCGGTGGTGCCAGTGCTCGGCAGCCTCGCCTCTGTCGGTGCGCCCCAGGGCAGCTGTGGCTACACTGTAGCTCATCACCACCAGTGTGTGAATGTGTGTGTGAATGGGTGAATGACTGATTGTGTTGTAAAGCGCCTTGGGGGGTTCCAGGACTCTAGAAGGTGCTATATCAAATACAGACCATTTAGTAAACAAAGAATTATTTGTTTTTTTCTCCAGATGTTGATGAAAGCATCCCTCCTAGAGAAGACCCCTCACACAACATTTCCATAGATGACCTTCCTGACTCCGCCAGCCAGACAGCACAGCAACATTATTCCAAGTTCTCTTTCAGGTAACATATTAAGGAAAAGCTCCTATTTTTACTTGCAAAGGTTTCCACACCGTTGCTGTTGTTAAAAATATTTGTTGTTTTTTCCAGTGATGCAAAGAAGAAGCTGAGGTTGGCTCTATGTTCTGCAGACTCTGTGGCCCTCCCCATCATGGCATCGGCGACCACATGCAACGGGCTGCCTGATCACATGGATCCTGAGGGTAAGAGCCCATCTGTGTCTGAGCCAGAGGATTTAATATGAAAGGTTACTTCTTCATATATACCCAGCTGTGGATTTCTCAGCTTCTCTCTTATTTTACATAGAAATAAAGAATCTTTGAGTCATTGATTCAGTGAAAAGTGGGACTCCTGGCCTCTGTTGGACTCTTAATGCCTTTATAATGACTAATAAGCTGTGATAGCAGTCATTGTGATGAACCATTATACATAAAAGGCAGGACATTGTAGTTTTTATAGAAGTTTTAGAAGTTCTCCAGAGTGTAGGTATCATTGGCCCTCCATGGGGACCAGTGTGCAATACCCCCTGATGTTGGCAAACATCCATTCTGCTGAAAGTGTCCTGAAGCAAAACAGCAATTCTGCACAACCTCCAGCTTCTGACTTACCTCTGAAAGTTTTGAGCAAGGTTAAAAGAAAATGTCTCTGGTGTGTATTAGGCCATAATGCTCATGTGGTCACATGGATTCACATTAGCTGAATAATTTGTCAAGTAAAAAGTGCAAAATAAAAGCTTTTTATTTAGATTTTCTGCTCAGCACTGCTTGCATATCCTAGAAGAGGATAAAATGGTTAAGTGGTCCACTCTTCCAAAGTGCCTTTGAGCTGCAGCAGCAGGTGATCTGTGTTAGCAGGCAGTTGTTCAATTCTATTGTCCTCTTTCTCTCTAGACAATGAGATCGTCTGTTTCCTGAAGGTCCAGCTAGCTGAAGCCATCAACCTCCAGGATAAGAACCAGATCGCTCAGATCCAGGAGACCACGCGCTGCGTCAGCCGCTTCGATGCACGCACCTGCAGGAAGCTGCTGGCTGCCATTGCAGATGATTATAGGTATATCTACTATTATATTCCAGAAACGTTTCCTGGGATTTGAGTTGCTTTATGGCATATAGTGATAATTATTAGTTTTATCATTTGAATCTTTGACCATGTTTTCAGACTATAAAGGAATCAGAATATGAAAAAAAAAGTAGAATATAGACAATTTTTAATGTGCAGATTTACAGCATGTAGTTTAAATTTTTGATTTCAATACATTGTGTGTTTTATTTATTTATACACACACACACACACACACACACACACACACACACACACACACATTTATGCCTACGGTGTGTACTAACTTCACTAAAATCAAGGCATTGCAATAAATCATTTACAAACTTTGAAAATATTTGTTTAGCACTGACATAACAACGCAGAATATAAAATAAAACTAAAAAATCTAATCTTTCACTTGACCCCACTCGTGTACATTAAATTATAATGAATTATAAATAATAAAAATAATAAGGTGAGGGATCAGACATGGAGCAGCCCGAAGACCTCTTATGATGAATTATATAAATGGAAACAGTGTTCCCTCGCCCGGACGTGGGTCACCGGGTCCCGCCTCTGGAGCCAGTTCCAGGAGGTGGGGCACGTTGGCGAGCGCCTGGTGGCTCGGCTTTGACCCATGGAGCCCGGCCGGCCACAGCCCGAAGAGGAAACGTGGGTCTCCCTTCTCATGGGCTCACCACTCATAGAAGGGGCCAAAGGGATCAGGTGCAGTGCGTGACGGGTGGTAGTCAAGGGCAGGGACCTTGGCGGTCTGATCCTCGGCTACAGAAGTTGGCTCTTTGCACATGGAATGTCACCTCTCTGGTGGGGAAGGAGCCTGAGTTGGTGTTTGAGGTTGAGAGGTTCCGACTAGATATAGTTGGACTCCCCTCAATGCATGGCTCTGGCTCTGGAACCAGTTTCCTTGAGAGGGGTTGGACTTTCTACCACTCTGGAGTTGCTCCCACTGAGAGGCGCCGAGCAGAGGTGGGCATACTAGTTGGCCCCCATCTTGGTGCCTGTACGTTGGGGCTTACCCCAGTGAATGAGAGGGTAGCCTCCCTCCGCCTACGTGTGGGGGGACGGGTTCTGACTGTGGTCTGTGCTTATGCACCAAACTACAGTTCAGACTACCCACCCTTTTTGGAGACCTTGGAGGGGGTGCTGGAGAGCGCTCTTTCCAGTGACTCCCTCGTTCTACTGGGGGCCTTTAACCCTCACGTGGGCACCGACAGTGAGACCTGGAGAGGTGTGGTTGGGAGGAACGGCCCCCCTGATCTGAATTTGAGTGGTGTTTTGTTATTGGACTTCTGTGCCAGTCATGGATTGTCCATAATGAACACCATGTTCAGACATAAAGGTGTCCATATGTGCTCTTGGCACCAGGATACCTTAGGGTCAGATGAAACAACAAAAAAGTGTAGACCACAGAAGCTCCTAGCCATGCATGGAGAGTTCCATCCCAGGTCCAGCAACCTGAGACTGTACACTAGCTGTGAGGAAGGAGGCCGAGGACCAGTGAGTGTGAGAGCCACTGCCCAGGATGAAACAACAAAGATCCATAAGTACATCAAGGTTAAGGTTCCAATAGATGATGTGCTCAGTGAATGTCTCAGACAATGGTGAACAGAGGAGGAGGTGCTGGAAATACCATCATGGGAGGACACACCCCTCCATGGGATGTACCACTAACAGATAACTAAAGTGGTTGATATCAAGAAATCCTACCAATGGCTAGAAAGAGCTGGTCTGAAGGACAGCACAGAGGCACTCATCATGGCTGCACAGGAACAGGCCCTGAACACCAGAGCAACAGAGGCCAAGATCTACCACACCAGACAAGACCCAAGGTGTAGGCTATGCAAAGAGGCCCCTGAGACAATCCACCACATAACTGCAGGGTGTAAGATGCTGGCAGGGAAAGCATACATGGAACCCCCCAACCGAGTGGCTGGCATCGTGTACAGAAACATCTGTGCAGGACTGGAAGCCTCAAGGTCAAAGTGGGTAACACCCCCTAAGGTGATAGAGAACTGGTTACCAGTTACCAGGGCCTCAAAGAAGAACTTAAGAAAGCCTGGAGAGTGAAGACATTGGTGGTGCCCATGGTCATCAGGGCAGTAACCCCAAACTGGAGGAGTGGCTACAGCAGATCCGAGGAAGAACATCAGACATCTCAGTCTAGAAAAGTGCAGTTCTAGGAACAGCTAAGATACTGCAGAACCCACAGGCTCCCAGGTCTCTGGTAGAGGACCTGAGCTTGGAAGAATGAGACCACCTGTGGAGGGTGAGATGTGAATTTAAAATGAAAAAGTTATATACGTGTATAATGGATTTGTTAAGATATCAACAAAATAAATAAGAAAGAAACTGCCGTGTTTAAGTATTGAACCTCAGTAATGTCTTCTAAGCAACAACAGGTTTGTTACCCACCAGCAATACAAACACAAGCTGGAGCTGGAAATCCAGCCTGTCTATTGGCTTCATTTCAGACCTGTTGTTAGTTCCCTCCTCCATCAAAGGCTCTTTCAGACAGGAAGCTGCTTGCGGAACACTCGGATGCTTCCTCTTTCATCACTCTGAATGCCTCGTACCCTACAAGAGCCGTTTGATGAACCCCTGGGACTCTTGACGTGTTTTTACTGGGGTGCAGTAGCATTTTTAGCATCTTAGCCTGAGAATTCTTTAAAACCAGGAATGTTTAAAATGAAGAAGCATCTTGTAGGTACAAGCTCTTCTGCTTCACCACCTCTGTTGTGTTTTTCTGGCAGTTGAAGACATGAACCAAGGAGTTGTTTTTGTTTTCAGAAAGCGGGCTCCATACATAGCTTACCTCACCAGGTGTCGCCAGGGCCTGCAGACCTCTCAGGCCCACCTGGAGAGGCTCCTACAGAGGGTGCTGAGAGACAAGGTGGTGGCCAATCGCTACTTCACCACTGTTTGTGTTCGGCTCCTTCTTGAACATATGGAGTCAAAGATGCTCGACTTTATTAAAGGTATTTTATTTCCCTCCCATGTGTCTAAATTTCCTATGAGCATAAATACTCACCAACCTTCAGATCAGAGATTCTTCACCTTTTCTGTCTCTTTTACCTGCTAGTTTTGCTATTTTATACATTTAAACAATACGCCCAAGACCCACATTTAAAGAGTTCAGCATAAAAGTTCAAATATTAATATAAAAAATATTTTATTATTTAATATCCAAGTGATAAACAATAGCAAATCAAAACATCTTGACACAGAATTAAGTTTAAATCTTGTTTCTGTGCTCGCCTCAAGCGTTCCAGGGGTGCACGGCAGCTGATGACAAGACTGCAGCAGTGGAGGATTTTCTTCGCTACTTGTACGGCGCCATGGCCCGTGATGCCATTTGGCAGTATGCGAGTGAGGACCAGCTGCAGGATGCCCAGATGGCCATCGAGCGCAGCGTTATGAACCGCATCTTCAAGCTGGCCTTCTACCCCAATCAGGATGGAGATATTCTCAGAGACCAGTGAGTAGCTGTCTTACCAAACAAAAAAATTGTCGGATTTGTCATCATAAGAACCGTTGTTTTCTTATCGATTGTATTGAGAATAAAAAAATGTATTCCCTAAAATCAAATTGAACAAGAAAGCCCAACAGTGTCTGTTACTAAGATTGTTTCCATTCAGTCTGTCAGTCATTTTTAGAGGCTGACCGATATACAGTTTTTTTTTCTATATCGGCTATGGGCTGAAATTATTTTTAAAAGCCCAAAAATATAAAAAATATTGAAAAATAGGCATCTGTGTGGCCAACTGCCACCACTACTAGACTGAAGAAAGGACCCGAAGGACCCCAACACACCGTTTTTTAAAATGTTTTGAGTTTGTTTTATATTTGAAGTTCAAAAAATAGTATTGACTTATTTAATTGATATTGTCTTTCACAATCAATGTGCTGCTAAAACGTGTGTGTATATATATATATATATATATATATATATATATATATATATATATATATATATATATATACCGTAAATCCTCTCATACAGGCCCGGGCCTGTATTTTACTCAAGCTCATCAAGCTCCAGGCCTTTATTGGAAGGAGGGCCAGTATTAGAGGCAGGCCTCAATTTCTGTTTGAGCAAAATGAACTAATGGTTCGCTGGAGTTTTTGACAATTAAAATTGCGTCCACATTTTCAAAGTTAAACACGTTTCTTTTAACAACGGTAGTTCCTGCTTCAGCCCTCTCCCCCCTCCCCCTGCGCAGCGGCTGCAAACTCACTGATGCGCCTGCAGCCTCTCAGAGTTCCTGCTGCTCTAAACATTAAAATAATTATTTCATTTTCCGTTCCTCACTTCTGATTACCTTCAATGGTGTCTGTTTGTTGCAACCACCAGGTACAAAAACTAACTTGTTTTTATTTGACTATTTTTCTGTCCTGTCTGTTTATTATCTTCCTGCATCTCCTCTCAATCCTAAAGAAAAACTGCTACCTGGCTTCATATATATTCACCTCATGAGTTACCTTTGAACTGCAGTGCTAAAAGATCTACCGACCGCAAAAACAGCGGAGTGTGCGCTGCTCGCTGGCCGCAACACCGGTGAGGTGCGTCACCGGAGGATAAGGTGATGCGCCCCGCTCCACAGCAGCGAAAAGCATCAGACGCAAATAAAAGACAGAAAACATAAAAGGAAATGAGCCGACATGAACGATCGCGTGTTAAATTAGTTTTTGAGGTGGCGACACCTAATTTGATAATGTTACTGTGGCCGTGCTCAGGACGCAGATATATGGAGCGCATCAACAATCAGAGCTTTGTATGCGTAAGCTGGTTAAGGTTAGGATGGGGTGAGGGGAAGGTTAAATTGCAAGACGGTAAACGTCACAATTTGGTTAAATGTCCGTTTTACGGCGGGTGTCAGTACCGACGCTCTGGCACAGCGCGTTGCCTCCAGACGCGCAGGAGCTCGTCACCTGCTGACAGCAGGCTGCTGTCTTTTCCGAGGACTGCATCTTGCCGGTCATTATCACGTGACAGTGACTAGTCGATGACAGGCATAAAAAGTCACTATGGTGAAGTCGACTAGTTCATACAACCCCTGCTACTGCTCCCCAGAGTGTTCTGCAGCATAATCAGCACGTTCTCTTTGAACTTGATATCAAATTTTCGCCTCCTCTTCGTCTCCGCACCTGCCATGGTTAACCCTCGCGGTCTATCACTGGCAAATCAAAAGTGAGACGGATGACACAACCGCCCCCCTGTGGTACTTGCTTGTTACCACATTCCACCCGGCCACAATAAAAAAAACGGCCATTATTCACCTCCACCGACTCAGACACCGGCCAAAATGTGATACCCGGCCGTTAATTGAATACAGGCCAATATTGGAGGATTTACGGTATATTTTACATTGGTCCAATACCTAAGTATATTGCTGCTGTCCTAAAACAGCCTCAGTCTCCAGATAATTCATTCAAATATTGTTATAAAAAGCTTAATGGGCTCGACACATGGGAGGCGACAAACGACCGCGATCAACGAAATTTGTCGCTGTCACTTTTATTACCTGACACACGGGAGGCACTCCGTGGCAGCGGCCAGCGGCAAAGCCGTCTACGCGTTCTTTTCCATGGCGAAACCGAAACTTCCGTTGTTTTGTTTGGCTGTGTCAGGTTGGAGGGAATTAAGGTTATTTAAGTGGTTCAGAGTTAATAAAGCGGTAGATATGATGTTTCACAAGGTGCTGCTAGAGTTATGTGAAATCTTACTTCTGATTTTACTTTATAAAACATAATAATTATCACCTTCTCCTTCATGTTTGCTCGGAGGTGTACGGAGCATCCTGTCCGCTCATTGGTCAGTGAATGAAACCTCCGTTGATTGGTCGTCGTCCGAGCGACAGCGATGAAAAGTTGAAAATGTTTCAACTTTCTGGGATTGCGTCGCCGGGTCGCCTGTGCACGACATGTGCACGAGCGCAAAATTTCACACTCACGTTTTTCGCGTTTCGCTTGGTAGGAGGGAGACCCGCGATTATCGCTTTGTCACGCATGTCTCATTGAAAATGAATGGAGGAGAGGCGATGTCGCCTCCCGTGTGTCGAGCCCATTATACTGGTATTGCTGACTGTTGTGTGCTGGATGGCACTCCAAATAGTCTTTCTATAGTTTTGCTGAGGGATTTCAACTCTTGACATGGTCGATGACATCATGATTTGGAGGGGGGTGAGTGGGAGGAACGACCCACCTGATCTGGACCAGAGTTTTTGTTACTGGACTTCTGTGTAAATCAGTTTGGCCTAGGGCGGGGTGATATGGCCTAAAATCAATATCACAATATATTGAGGAGTTTGCCTCGATAACGATAAATGAACGATAACTACAGGTATGTGCAGAAACAACAGTTGTCCATTAGATGGGGCTGTCACATGTGGTACAGCTTCTTAAAGGGACATGAATGTTGCCAAATGCCCCGAACATCTGGCCACAGAGTTTATTTATACCAAGAGATAAGAAAGGAATGAAAGTGAGAGTGTGTGTGTGGGAAGTCAAGAATGTGTGTGTGTGTGTGTGTGTGTGTGTGTGTGTGTGTGTGTGTGTGTGTGTGTGTGTGTGTGAGAGAGAGAGGCTTGTGTGTGAGGCTTGTGTGGGTGTGTCTGAATAAGTGGGCATGCAAAGAGGCATAGAGCAATACATATTACGTTCAGTTGATTGGGTCAAAGGTCAAGAATTAATGAACATAAAATTTCCTTAACATTGGCCAGCCCTAGTTTGACCAGAACACCATGTTTGAATGTGAGGATGCCCATTGGTATATTTGGCACCTAGACAGCCTTGGTGCAGGTTGATGATCGACTCTGTAGTTGTTGCACCTACGGCCATGTTTACGATGCTGGTGAAAAGAGCAGAGCTGTCAGCTCACTCACTCTGTTTACTGTGGGGATGTTGACTTCAGCTGGGAATAAAGTCGGGTGGTGGAAGAAATCCCACCAACAGTTCTTCCAGTGAGGAACTACAGCTGGGAAAACTGAGGATGGACGGAGCAGGAGTTGCTGAGGTAGTCTCACGTCTAGATGGCACCAAAGATTTGGATGTTGTACGACTGTCATGACTGACGTGCCTCAGCAACATTGCACGGTTATTGGGGTTTCACCAAATGGAGGGGCTCACATAGGAACACACTCTTCAGCCACCTGGGCTAGGTTCACTCCTACGTAGTAGAGAGGAAGGTCCAGTTAATAGAAGACAAATGTGGTTTTTGTCTCGACTTTGGAGCCAAGGAAAATCGTGTTCCTCTTCCTTGGATGCTGGGAGGAGCAGTCCACTTGTTTATTTATTTATTTATTTATTTTGTTTCCCTGAAGAAGGCTTATGTCCTTATCCCTCCTGTCCATAGGCCTCCTATGCAGGAGTGTTTGGTGGATGGCCCCTTGTCAAGGACCATTCAGTCATTGTAACAAAGTAATGCAAGTGTTCAGTCTAGACACCAGTTCCTGGTGAGGGGGGACTCCTCAAAGGGCTGCCATTCATTACTGGTTCTGTTTAGAACTCTTATGGACAGATTTTCTAGATGTGGCTGTGGAGTGGAGGTGCAGATGAAGTGGTATTCTTTGCTTCATCAAGCTTCTCAAGCTGAGTGTGAAGCAGCCGGGATGTGAATCAGCACATCCAAACACAAAGGCCAAGCGTCTCAACCGGAAGAGGGTATGTTAAGGGAAAGGTCCTACAGTGCAAACGTTTTAAGTATGTAAGGGTTTACTCCACTAGTGAGTGGTGGAGGGAGCAGGAGTTGGACGAGCTGTTAGTTCACCAGTCTTGGAGAACGTGTGTAAGTGTGTGTGTGTGTGTGTGTGTGTGTGTGTGTGTGTGTGTGTGATATATATATATATATATATATATATATATATGTATTTATTTATTCAAATGAAGGCTTTGCTTTTTGAAGCCACGAGTAAAATAGTCATTCTCATGTTATTATTTATTTCAAAATGGCTGTAAAATCACTTCAAGTGAAACTGCTGATTAAACTGAGACAATTTCATGTTAATGTTGTTTAAAACTGAGTGTTTTTTTAATCATGAACAGGCTTTTCTATGAACACATCCATCGGCTCTCAAAAGTTGTCACAGCAAACCACAAAGCTCTTCAAATCCCAGAGGTATTAGCATTAAACCTTTGTACATTCATAGAAATGACTGAACTGGTAGTAAAGTGCAGTCTAACTCGTGGTTGTAGGTCTACCTAAAGGAAGCTCCATGGCCTTCTGCTCAGTCTGAGATTAGGAGCATCAACGCTTACAAGACCCCGCGAGACAAAGTCCAGTGTATTCTACGAATGTGTTCCACCATCATGAATCTTCTCAGTTTAGCCAACGAAGACTCGGTGCCAGGAGCAGATGACTTCGTCCCTGTTCTTGTCTTTGTCCTCATAAGGGTGAGTTTTAGTCCCACTCTGTTCTGACTCACATTGAGCAGGATCAGATATAATTTCTTTAACTGTTTAATTTTTGAGAGGATTTTATGCTTTTAGTTTTTGTTCGTGTCAAAAAAAAATTAAATCTACTGCAATCTGGAAATTATAGCTGAGATTTTACTGCACCATAAAATCTGCTCTCTTTTAACCTGTATATATGTGTATGCATTTTTTTCTCTCTCATATTTATGATTTTAATCTGCACGCTGTTGCGTGAGCATCTTTGAGCTCCTAATGGTCGCCCATCCCCACATCTCCTCCCCTCCAGGCAAACCCGCCCTGCCTGCTGTCCACCGTTCAGTACATCAATAATTTCTACGCCAGCCGGCTGAGTGGGGAGGAGTGCTATTGGTGGATGCAGTTCACCGCGGCGGTGGAATTCATTAAGACCATCGACGATCGCAAGTGAAGCAGAACAGCCACCTGTATGGGCAGACTGCGGGGGAAGGAGCCGGGAGACTGGGAGGCTTCCCAACCAACTGCTCCCTCTGCACAGCTCAGAAGAGCTGGCTCTCAGCCTGCTCGTGATTTGTATAGCTTGTACATAGCCAGAGATGCAGAAAAAAACACACAAAAATATATATTACAGTACTTATGTGGGCAAATCCAGGTTTGGGGGAGAATTGGCAACATATCAACGCTAAATCTGAATTGATCTATTTTTTATTTTCTACTTTTTATTTTGCCGGTCTCTCTTGGCCTCTTATCTATCTATCTATCTATATATATATATATCTATATCTAGATACAGATATATATATATAGATCTATATATATATATATATATAAGATCTATAAATAAATATAGATCTATAAATAAATATATATATATATATATATATATATATATATATATATATATATATATATATATATATATATATAAGATCTATAAATAAATATAGATCTATATATAGATATATATATATATATATATATATATATTGCCAATATTATGATGAAATTAGTGTAGAATTTGCTCTTACACAAAGGGACCAGACTTCGTTAATGGTGTTAGCTGTATATTTTCCCGTTTCCACATGAGTTAGGCGAGTTAAAGGCGTGGCCTCTATATAAATGTATTAAACACATTTTCACACAGGGATTTTCAATCGTAACTTCTAATGGGAATTGGTGACGTGCACACCTAGATAAATTTTGAGACATTATGTTTAAATAGTGTATCTACAGCTAGGCAGCTTCTTTTGCAAACCGAACAGTCACCTATCTGAACTCAAAGGCTCTGCAGACAGACATACATGGAATAAAATATAGTTATTTCTGTCATTCTATTTAATGCTTCATCTAAGATTTTGTTTTCAAGAAGTGAAACTGCACATCGTACTCATTCAACATGAGTCAGCATAACCTCGCTTGAGTTCAGAAGGCACCTTAGTTTTAAGTAGTTCTTAGGTTGGGGAGAGTACTGAGTCGTGAAGATGTACAGGGTCAACTCGTGCACACGGTAGTGGCATTTAATGAAATTTGTGCCTTTAATGAGGGGCGTGCTGTACAGGTAGTTATTTTTGAGTTTGTTTCTCTAGATTATACTAAGATAAACACTTCTACCCCACCGCACACACACACACACACACACTCCAGTAGGCCCGCCAAATCTTCCAGATAAACCTTTAGGGGCCAGCTGCTGGACCAGGGGCATCACCACATTTCTTCTCAGACCTTATAATCCACCAGAGCTGGAACAAACCCCTCATGTTATCGCTCATCTTTCTTTTTTTTTTACATCCTACCTCAGAGCTGTAGCCAGTGAGCCCGATGTCGGTACCAGTCCTGCATTCATTAAAAACAGTACTGAATGGTGTCTACACTGGCAAGAAAAAAAAATGCTAAACAGAGATTGAAGTATAAAAAGTAGAATTTTGACCTACTGTGGTGCTTGTGTTCTCATTGCCCTTTATATAAAAACAAGCCTTAGTTAATGACCCGATAGTTGTGTGAGATGCCACTTGTCTCATCAGCAGACTAGGAAATAATTTCGGCTCTCTACCTCTGTATGAGTTCAAGAAGGGGACTTGTATTTATGTGCGCTTATATTCCCATTTCTCCTCCCTGGTGTGGCGTGCTGTGAAATGTTTTTATATTTATTCCACTTGTAGTTAAAGCATGTCTTTAATTACCCAGAAATGACTTAAAACTTTATTCTTGTTTCAATTACCTGCTTAATTATTTTTTGTGCCACATGTGGTAAATAGTTTAAAATAAAGTTTCACAGCTAATGACCAGACAGCACAACACAGTGAAATAGAAGTCCAAATACTCAACACTATTGACTTGTTACTGACTCTGTCTGTGTGTGTGTGTGTGTGTGTGTGTGTGTGTGTGTGTGTGTGTGTGTGTGTGTGTGTGTGTGTGTGTTGACCCTCTGCATCCTCTTGCATGAAGTCATTGAATGGTCTGTACATTCTCAGTCATGATGAGCTGTAGATGGAATTAGTTTGTGCCGCAGGCCTGTAATTGAAACCTGCAGGAGGATGCGAAGCTTCTCGTTGGGTCTGTGATTCTCGCATATCAGAACTCGGTGTATTTTGCACAAAATGGATTCATTAAACAGGGAGCAGCGATTTTGACACAGCCCGACTTCTGGGCCTTTATTATTCAACACGACTGCTGTGATTAAAGTCATTTTGAACGATGCAAAGATCCTTGTTTTTGCTCTGTAAAGTTGATGAATGGTCACTTTAATGGGTTACATCATAAATGCTTTTATTTAGTTGAAATCCGTCTAGCACACAAGGAAGTGTCCGAGTCGGTGTAATCCATTCGATGAGATAACGCTCCGGAAACTCGAGCTGCAGGTTGCTTCTGTACTAATTAGGTTTATGTGATGTCACGTTAATTGGGAATATATTCACGGTGCAAATCTGATCAAATTACTTGGGCCTGGCTTGTCTGTCGTCATGTCCTCCGATATCCAATCGCTATGGTTATGATTGACTTCAAGCATTCGAAAAAGCACCAAATGGTTACACCCAAAACAGCCATTTCTGAATGCAGCGAAACAGGATAAATGGTTTGTTCAGACGTTGAATGCTCTGCTCCCTGTAGTATTGGAGTAAAAGACTGTCAGAAATTATGAATATCAGGAAAAACACGTCATCTTTCATCTGATTTAAAATTATTTGTAAGCTTGCACAACTCTGACATCTGGGGGAAGCCGGTTTGTCTTTACTGTGATTAATGCATTATGTAATTCTTTAAAAACAATAAAAGAAGCAGACATTTTTCTCTCTTTTCCTTTTGCTGCATTTTAGATGCATTTTCAAGACTTAATTGTGCATGGAGGCAGTTTCTTGTAGGCATTGTGGGACTTCTCAAGACGTTTGCAGGTATATCTAGCCACGGTTCCCATAACAGAGAAGATGTTTGTGAAATAAAATCAGAATGCATAGAATCTAATTGTTACTGGGGGCAGTGGAGCAGCATCATCCAATCTAAAAGCCACAAATCGGATCCTCTCCGCCAGCATTTCATTACTGCTGACGAGTGTTTCAGTGGATTGTAACTGGAGATATCCTCTCATCTAAAGCCTTCCTCACTGATTACCTTCTTTATTACTCCTTATTTTTTCATCATAAACTTCATGGGGTGCGTTGTGTTTCCTGATGATATCTCTCAATGGTTAATTTAAATTCAGATATTAATATGAAGGTAATTAGTTGCATTCGTTGATGGGGCAGATTGGTTCTTTAGATTTTGTGGCACCTAAAACATTTGAGCTCAGCTTTGATTTAAGTTTCTGGTTAATTCCTCGTAGTGGGAGTTGATTGCTACTGGTGAGGCTGATACATCATTTTTATTTTTAAACTTTGCTGTTATATACTGATGCTATTCTGCTCCTTGAAGCAGGCCTGGGGTCTCACCCAGATGGCTGCGGGATAACAGATGATCAGTCCAGCGGGGCTGATGCATGTTGGTGTGGTACTTCCTGGCTGTCGGGAATAATGCCCTCCCCTATGATCTCATGGTGCCTGCAAATACCTCAGTTCCTGTTGGAACTGCAAAGCTAACAAAATGAAACTGTGACCGTTAAACTTTGTGAATTTTAAAAGCTTATTAGCAAACAAATCTTTAAGTTTGTTCAAGGTGTGGTTCGCAGAAATGTTTTTTTTTAAATGGGATTTTTTTTACTTAATTTTCGTCATGTTCTTGAGCCAGTATGTTCTAAAAGGAGCCTTTACAGGGTTAAAGGCCATCCAGACCCTATCGCCCCTAGAATATTCCATTTGTAACTTCAGACCGGTGGGCGGCTCTGTTGGGACTTGAGCTGACATAGCTGGTGCTGTAGTCTGGTTTCAGCACGTTTCCTGCATGTTTTATATAATGAACACAGCTTATTTGTTTAATTTAATGATGAATCTTAGGTTTCCACAACCCCCCAAGGCACTTCACAACACATTCATTCACCCATTCATGTGCTGGTGATGATGAGCTATAGCCGCAGCTGCCCTGAGGTACACCGACAGAGGCGAGGCCTGCCCAACACAGGTGCCACCGGTCCCTCTGACCACCACCAGCAGGCAAGGCAGGTTGCGTGTCTTGCCCAAGGAACACTACAGCAGCATGGTTGGAGCCAGGATCGAACCTGCAACCTTCCTATTACTAGACAACCTGTTCTATTTCCTGAGCTACTGCTGTCAAAGCAACATCAGGTTAAACTGTAGTTCAAACACTGATATTAAAAATAAGTTTAGCTGTATTCTGTCAGGTTATAGTTTTTTTTTTAAATTCACATTTAAAGTGTTTCTGTAAACAAAACCCAAAAGATAAACGGACAAAGGGGAAGTGATGATGCTGGCGTAAGAAATGAAAGCTCTGTTGTTGATGTTTTTATTTTTGGTTTAAATGTTTTTAATGCCACTCAACATCCGGACTACAAAAATATAAATGCACAAGCGGCAGTATCATGCTTTTATTGTGAAATCCAGGCATCAGGTGTTATACCGTTAGTGGCCTGCAGATGGCAGACGCACCATTTCTGAGGACGGTGAGCACATTGATCTGCGTGCAGACAAAGAACTGCAGCTCGACGACTTGACACTGAAAACCTGAATCTGCTGTCTGGAAGTGTCTAAATTAATATTTTAAATTATAACTTTTTTTTTAGTAGAAAATATTAGTTATTATTTCCCCCCCCCCCCCCCCCCCCCCCCCAAAGTTATCCAAAATAAAACAAAACTGTTTTCTGTTTTGCAGAAATTCTCAAGACATTTTGCCCTTGTGTGTAAATCAGCTCCCAAACTGACCCCCCCCCCCCCCCCCCCCCCCCCCCCCCCCCCTTTGTTGCACATATCTAACTGTGAACAGCTCCATCCTCCTGCTGGACTAACCTGTGGTTGGGGGGGGGGGGGGGGGGGGGGCAAATCTCCTCTCAGGACAAAAACAACACAAGGCAGCAAAGCAGCATGTCAATTAAATTAAACGTGGGGGTACAGAGGAGAGAGGGTGAGCCTAAATGAACAAAATGTCAAATACACATATTAAAACTTAAATGAAACCGCCGCAAGGACGGAGACAGATGAGAAGATTAAAACTCCGAGATCCCAAGTCTCCGTGCCCAGAGGTGCTGATTCTGAAAGAGATGCAGATAGTAAAACGTGAGCACCGCTCTTCTATCTAAACTGCAGAGACAAAGGGTAAAAAGGAGATGTGTGCCTCGCAACAAATAACACCATGGCTTCATTTCATTAAATGGACGCGGCAGAGGTAACATGGAAATGA